AAGACAGGGAAAGAATCCGTGAAGACAACGACCGCCGCTGCAGCGTCTCTGCTGGAAGAGTAAGTGAAGACGTCGGCTTCTCCCGCAGTGACTCGAGAAGAGTCAGTGAAGACCTGGGCCGCCGCCTCAGTGTTTTTCGGGAGAGAATTAGGGGAGATGGTGGCCACGGTCACAGCGGCACTTGGGAGAGAGTGAGGGGAGACCGTGGCTTTCGCATCGGCAACGTCAGTTTGAGCGAAGTCGGCAGCCACCAAACTAGTGACTCCGGGGGAACGGCCAGAGAAGACTGCAGCCTCCGCCTCGGTGGTACTTGGGAGGGAATCAGGGAAGTCCGCGGTCCCGGCACCAGCGACTCTGGGGAGAGGGGCAGTGACGACCGCAGCCGCCGCCTCAGTGGCTCTTGGGAGGGAGGGAGTGTCGATGGCGGCCACAGCCTCAGTAGTTCCTGGGAGGGAGTGAGTGAAGACCGTGGCTACGTGGCCAGCGACTCCTCCGGGGTGAGCGTCAGCCAAGACTCCGGCCGCCGCCTCAGTGGCTTCTGGGAGAGAGAAAGTGAAGACGAAGGTTCCGGCTGCAGGGGCTCCTGGGAGAGAGCGAGGGAGGACGGCGCCCCCGGCCCTAGCGAAGACGAAGACGGCCGCTGCAGTGTCTCGTGGGTGACGGCAAGTGAAGACCGCCGCAGCAGCAGGGGCTTGGATTCAACTCCTTCCCGGAGCTCAAGGGATTGCACCATGCCCGGGGTGTCCCATTCAGGCCCCTCCGCCTCCTCAACGGAGACTGCGACCCCCTGTGAGACAAAAGTACTTCAGCGGCCTTTGTCTCTGCCACACCCCTTTTTCTTACTTCTGCCCACAGCAGCCTTAGTTAGGCCTTTCTGACATTTCCCTTTCTCAACTGTCACTCTTTATTTCCCTCACTCGACCTATTTTCGATGGGTCCCGAAGCTGTTCACCTGTCCGCCGTATCGCTCTCTCATTTTAGCTTTCCTCCCTTCCCATCTGCACCATTCCTGAGACTTCTTGTTCAGATTGACATCAACTCTCGCCAAGTCTAATGGACCCTTTTAAGTTTTTACTTGTCTCTCTGCAGCATTTGACCCTGTGGAAATGACATTCGACTTAACCTAGTTTTCTTCCTTCCACTCTACTGACTCTCTTTTCTTTGCTGACTTTTCCATCTTCTCCTCAAATGTTGCTTTTTTTTTTTTGCTGAATAGTGCCGTCACTGGTGCTTTTTTTTCTTGTCTTGTACTATGATTTTAGTTCTACTGAGGACCTCCAAATCTATGTTATTCATTCAACCATCTAGTAAATATTTATTGAGTGCTTAATATGTGCTGTGTCTTAAGGATGTATCAATAAAGAAGACAGGAACATTCCTTCTAGTGCAGAAGATAAATACTGAGCAAAATAATGGCTAGTGTGATGAATATTATGAAGAAGAATAGAGTGCTATTGGCTCCACTATGGGGTGCGGATGGGTATCAGAAAAACCCACCTAATACCTAGACATGCCTATCACTGAGATCTGATCTTCAGATCTCTCCTCTGAGCTGTAGACTCGTATGTACAAGTCCCTTCTGGGACTCTTCCTTAGGTACCTCAATATCAACATGTTTAAAATTAAATTTATTTATATGCTCTCTCTGTCTTTCAGTTTTCACTATCTCAGTGGCACCACACCAGTCAGGAAACTAAGCCAGAAACTTCTTTGAGTTATCCCATTACTCTTTCCTTATTTCACCCACTATATTCATCCAAGTTCAGTTCAACCAGTTACCATAATATTTGTTGAATCTGTCTCCTTTTATGTTCCTAATGCTATTCTGTATTTTTTTACATGATCTCTCGAATATATAATGTTTCGTTTTTGCCCCAATGGCTGACTGCAGCCAGCCCTATAAACTTGGCATTACAAATTTGATTATTATTCTGCTTAAAATCCCTCAATGACTCCCCAGTCTCTGCTCAAGTCCAGCAAGGTTCTACCATAGCATGTCTTTTGTTTAATTCTAACCTCCTTTCCTTCCACTTTATGCTTCAGCAATAGAGTAGGGTTGTGTGTGTGTGTGTGTGTGTGTGGTTTCTTGGCCATATCCTACTGTTCATGCTGTCTAGTATGCCTTTCCCTGCTCCCATTTTACCGGTCATGCTCTTGCTAATCTTTGAAGATGCATCTTAGATTTTACCTCCCCCAGGAATCCTTTTCTGTTTCCCTTCCCTCCTGCCCCAGCTGAGTTAGAAGTCTTCTGTGCCTCTATAAGTTCTTATGAATATTTTGTCATTGCTCTCATCACATTATTTTATAATTTGTGTTTGTATCTCTCTATGAGTTCTTTATGATAGACACCAAATTAATGTTGAATGGAAGAGTGGGTAGATGAATGAATGAATTGGGATGGAATGTGGTGAGGAAAAAGGCCATAAAATTAGATGGGAGTCAAATTATGGGAGGGCTTAGATTGTCGTACTGAGGGTTTGGATTTTGTTCTCTATACTAGCAGTGGATAACTAGAAGCAGTTTGGAGTAGAGGCATAAAATGATCTGGATAGTGTCCCTGTGTATGATCGATTAGAGTGGATAGAACACTATTTGTAGATCTTGCTGTACTAGTTTAAAGGAGAATGAAGATCCAATCTAGGGGATTAACATCATTAAACATTTATTGAGTTTTTTGTTTGTTTGTTTGTTTTTGTGCCTTCCTTGCTCCCTTCCCTGTATGTATATATCTTAATTGTTTCTTCAAGGTCTTGCTCAAAGTTTTCCTCCTCTTCCTCTTTAATTTACCTGTACTCTCTTAGGACATTACTGTCTGTTTATTTTTATTTTTATTTTTATTTCTTCATGTTTATCCAAATAAGTTTTAAAGTGTTGGTGGAAAGAAAATGTGTTACCTCCATGTCTATTTTCCATCGTGTTATACTCCTGGCACATGGTAGATGCTCAGAAAGGATTTTTGAGTAAAATGTATAGCATTTTGCTAAGGGTTGTTATAAGATATGATTCCACTGTAAAATATGGTTCTAGCCATCAAGAAATTAACATTCTGGAGAGAGGAAATATTTATGCAAAGATAAATAGTACAAGAGTGCATAGATAATTTGCCAGAAGTGTTGGTGAGTTCTTTTCAAAATAATTTAATTTGTTTAGGAAGTGCTTCGATTGAATTCTTTACTACTTCTTTCTCCAAAAACCATCTGTTCATGCTTAGATACCTTTATTGCTTCTGGTTCATAATGCACATTAAAATATTTACAGTTCAGTGAACCTGACAGTGTAGTCTTAACATTTGGAACATTAAATTATAAAATATAAGAAACTAACTAGAATGTATGAAATGAAAATTGTGACCTGCCATTCCTCTCCTAGTGAGGGTATATGAGAAAGATGAGAAAAGTATAATCTTGATAAACTATGTCTGCCAATGTGAGATAAGGCTCTAGTAAAATGCACTGGGCATATTTCAAAATGGTTTCTCCCCTCTCCTCTGCCAAAAACACAAGTAGGTTTTTCTTAGCTTTTCACAGTGATAACGTAGTGGAGTTTTGAAGGTAAAATCTATGAAAATGTGGGAGCCTCCCAAGATTGTGACCCTAAGAAATTTCTTACTCTTAGGCTAGTACATACCCAGTCCCCAGCAGTTTGTCAAAATTGTCATTTAAGTGCTTCTTGAGGTTTATGACCCCAGTGGCTTCTGCTCCAGGTTAAGGTGAACTTGCCTGTGTTTCTCTGTATTTGCCTCTTTTCTGATTTAGGGTAGCAATTTGTCCTGAGACCTCAATTCTCTTATCAGTCCAAGAAAAGTTTTTGATTTTCAGTTTGTTCAGCTTTTCTTCTGTATGTATGGGAATGACAACTTCCCTTCTCTTTACATAAAGTAGAAGTCTGATTAAGATGTTAATCATAAACATCTTTGGAGTACATTATTTGTAAAGCCAAAGTGATTTTGTTCTCTCTGTTGAATCATTACTTTAGTCTTTTCTTTTTCTTTTTTTTTTTAGTTTTGTAATATATTTTAAGCAATTTGATTTTTCAATAGGTGCCAGGAAGAAGGTACATTTTGGTAGCATACATGATGCAGTCCGAGCTGGAGATGTAAAGCAACTTTCAGAAATAGTAGAACGTGGAGCCAGCATTAATGAAGTTGACATTCTTCATAAATTTACCCCTTTACATTGGGCAGCACATTCTGGAAGTTTAGAGGTAAGAAGCTATATAAATTACTAAACTGGGGTAAGTTTAAAGCTGTTAGCAGTTTTATAAATTTAACAAACAGGACTGAAGCCTTATGCTAGGCACTGCAAATATTTTTCTTATTAATTCTGTCTAACATTGGATGTTTGGGTTATAGTGGTTTTTTAACAAATGATCTCAAAACTTAGTGGCATAAAATAACTATTTCTTTATGCCCTGAAGTGAACCAGGAATTTGAATCCTAGGAACAGCTTGTCTCTGCTCTATGACGTCTGAGGCTTCAGCTAAAAGATTGAAAAGCTGAGGCTGGAATCTTCTGAAGGCTTGTTCATGCGGATGTCTGATAGTAGATACTGGCTGTAGGCCAGTCACCTTAATTCCCCTCTATGTGGTCCTGTTTGTGAGGTTTCTCCACATGGGCTAGTATGTGCTTCCTCACAATATGGTGGCTGGGTTCCAAAGGCAAGCATAAAGATTAACTTACAGAGGATAACATAATGAATACCTAGCTCTAAGAAATCCTGACATTTTTTGCTGTAGTTGCTTCAGATTTTTAGAAAACAAATGGAATATTATAGATACATCTGAAGTCCTTGAGCACCCTTCCCAGGTGCCATTTCTCTCCTTCCAACTCCAGAGATAAATATTACCCTAAATTTGGTGTTTATTATTCCCATCTTACATATGATTATATCATTATTACTTATGATTATAACATTGTTTTAATTGACGTAGTTTATTTAAACGACATATGTGTCATTCTGCACCTTGATACATGTGGTTACATATATGTACTCCAGTTAATTTTTTTCAGCTGTGTTGTAATAGTATTCTTAGACTAATATCAGAATTTATTCATTTTTCAGTTGATGGATATTTAATTGGTTTCAATTTTTAGCTAGCACAAGTAGTGCTTAGTGAATATTTTTATGCAAAACTTCTTATTCTTGGGCTATGTACAAAGCCAACTGGAATTTTTCTCATGATTCAAGGTTGTGTGTGGGGAGCTTATTTTAGCTGCTGCATTTCCCAGTCAGTAGGCTGCTGTAGGTCTATTCACCATGCTTTTCTTTTTCTTTTTCTTTTTTTTTTTTTTACATTGTTACACAGACAGCTTTCTATGAATATGGCTTCTCTGTGTGATTTTTTGGGGGGGGCTTCTCTACTTCTTGGAACCAAATCTGGTTTAGAGAATCTCTCTCCACCACTTTGTGTGCCCCACTTGAATTGTTGTAAACAAGGATTTTGCCTTTGGCCTTTTAGTGACTTCCTCTCACTTGGGAGAAATGTGCCTTGACAGGTCTTTCTGCACTTGCAGCCCCTGGTGGGTATTTTCTCTGCTGTTTCTTCCCACATCCCTGTTTGATCTACAGTTTAGCAGCTTTCCCATCTGTTTTGTAGTCTGAGTTTCAAATGTCTCCTAGTTTCACTACAGGTGGGGTTTTCTGCTTGTTTTTCTTGTTCTTTTTTATGATTTAGGACTTCTTGATATACCGTTTATTTCATCTCTTTCTTGGTATCCTTTCAGCCTCTCTGACTACTCTCACTTACACTTATTTGGTTAACCTACCCTAGCTGTTCTATAAAGATGGATATTCTTTATACTTCTGCCAATGGCCTTCTCTCTCCCACTTTACACTTTCTCTCCAGGCAGTCTTTTAGACTTCCTTGTCTTGATCATTTCTACATATTAATTCATGAATTTGCTTTCTGTCCTGAATTCTGACTTATGTAACCAGTACTTGATCAACAGCCCATGCATATTTGACTAGCCTCTCAAATTCAATTACTCTAAAACTAAACCGTTATTCTTTTCTTCCTCTTTCTTTGTTTTCTAAGCTAATGGCCTTTGAATCATTATTAAGCCATCTTGGTTTTTTTCACCATCTAAAGTATTTAATAACAACACCAATAACAGAAAAGACCCCCCACAGACCTATTGTAAAACAGTACTCTCAGTTGGTGATCGTTGTAATATACAAAAAACTTAATTTCCTCTGAAATCTGAAAAGCACCAAGTGTGACTATCTTAAAAAATGTCTGCTTGAATTGTCTCGATTTTTTACAGAAGCAAAACACATTATCAACACTTGTCTGGATGAAGGTGCACTTCATGATGCATATTGATTTAGTAAGAAGTGATCACTAGGTCAGTTAATTTTGTTCCATGTTTTGTCTTTTGAATTTATTCTCTTCATCCTCTAATTGATTTCATTCTTTTTTGTCTCATCTACTTCTAGTTCATATTCTGTATATGAAATTAGATTTCATCTAATTGATTTCATTCTTTTTTGTCTCATCTACTTCTAGTTCATATTCTGTATATGAAGTTACTGCTCTAAAACTAAAATCTGATATTACTTAAAACTCTCCTTCAGTTTCCATAGTAACTCTAGCCTCTATAGTATAAAGTTCAAACTATTTAATGTGGTAGACTTATCTCTCCAAGATCATCTCCCATCATACTTGTTTTTTGCTGCAGTACTGGTGACTACTACCCCAAATTAGTCTACTGTTTCATATTATCATAGACTGCACATGCTGTTTTATCTGCCTGGTCTTGCCTTTTCCCATTGGTTACTTGGTTGAAATCTAGGCAGCACCCATTTGGTAAGGCCTTCTGTATTTCTCTCAATATTTTCCAGCTAGCTACTTTCTCCTCAGTGATACTTCTAAATCTTATACATAAAATTTTTATTGTATTTACCACATTGAATTGTATTCTCTGTTAGATTTTAAGCTCTCTGAAGTTACCATTTGAGTCTTATTCATCTTTTTTTCCATAGCATCTAGCATAATGTCTTGCATATTGGAATCACATTGTAGGTTCTCAATAAATATTTGTCATATTGCTGACTTTGTTGACTTAAGTTTAATTTATATTTTTAGTGTCTAGCACAGTGCATAGCAGATGTTCAAGAAATGTTTGTTGTATTTTAACAAACATAAATCTAAACCATAATATTTTAGTGCATTTCTCCCTTTACATTTAAAGATCATCTAATTCTCTACTTGAGTACTGCGTTAGCACCCTTACATTTTGTTATTCTTTCTGAAATTTCTTATGACTTATGGTACTTATATGTTAGTATGAAATAATCACTAAATTAACAACTGGTGAAAACTACGTTTTATTATATTTAATTTTTTTCTTCCATCATATGAGGTTGCTATTGAGTTCCCTGTAGTGAGTTTTTTATTTCAGATATACAATTCACCTCCAGAATTTCCATTTGGTTCTTTTTTTAAATTGTAATTTTTATCTCTTTATATTTTCTACTTGATGGACATTATCATTATACTTTCCTTCAGTTCTTTCAACATAAATTCCTTAAAAAATAGTTTCTTTTAGTTCTCTAAAGTTATTTGTAATAGCTGCTTTGAGGTCTTGCTAAGTCCAACATTTGAGCCCTCACAGGGATAGTTTCTATTGATTGCTCTTTTTCCTCTGTATAGATTACACATTCTTGTTTTTTTTTTTTTTTTGTATGTCTCATAACTTTTTAGTTTGACTAGACATTTTGAAAACTGGACATTTTAGAATATATATTGTCAATCCCTCCAGCAAGGTAATGAAGCTGTCCACACAAGTAAAATTTCTGCATCATGCAGCTGGAGACAGGGATAATTGTAGTACCAGTCTCCCTCTTGTTACTGAGATTCAGTAGATTTCCTTGAATTAATTCTTCTCATTTTGTTATATACCTTTGATTAATTTCCAGAGTCTTTAAATTGTTGTTCTTGATAACTTCGTGTAGTTTTATCATTATTTCTTGGGAAGGATTTGCCAAGCTCGTTACTTAGCCATTACTGAATTCCTGCTTAATTTTCAAATTAATTTTTGACAAAGATGCAAATACAGTCCAATGGAGAACAGATATTATTTTCATTAAATGGTGCTGGCACAGTTGAACATTTATATGTAAAAAAACTCCTTGACCCATACCTGGCACCATATATAAAAATGTACTCAAAAGGTATTATAGGCAAATGTGAAACTTAACCTTATAAAACTTCTAGAAGAAAGCATAGGAGCAAATCTTTACAAATCATATATCCGATTAAGAACTTGTAATCAGAATATACGAGATTCTTACAACTCAGTAGTAAGAAAACAAAAACCCAATTAAAAAATGAGCAAATGACTTCAATAGACACTTTCTCAAAGATGATATGGATGGCAGTTGAGCATTGAAAAGTTATTCAACATCATTAGCCATTAGGAATAATATGAAGTATTGGCAAGGCTATAGAGCAACTGGAACTTTCATACATTGCTGGTAGAAGTGTATGATACAACCACTTTGGAAAACAGTTTGGCAGTTTCTTAAGAAGTTAAACATATACTTACCTATCTTCTACCAATCTCACTTCTACATATTTACTTAGGACAAATGAAAAACCTGTACAAGGTTGCTTTTAGTGGTTTTATTTTCTGTACCTGAACCATGTTAGCATGCAGTAGTCTCTCCATAAATATTTGTTGAATAAATGAATGACTACTGTGATTATTAGTGAAGTTGAGCTTTTTAAAAAATATGTTATTGGTTACTAATATCTGTGACAGGCAAATGATACCTAAATGGTAAGCCTTTTCAACAAATGATATAGCTATGACTGATTTACACAGTGTATCCAATGATATAGTCAACTTTTTTTAAAAAGAAAGACTCTTCTTAAAGGTAGAATCTACTATATGTAGCACAGACCTCTCAGTACTGTATTAAAATAAGACTGAGGGTGAGTTTTAAAAATCTTAAATGAAAATGCATTGATTACTACTCACCTTTGTTATATAAACTACTTTTTTTTTTTTTTTTGAGAGTATTATCAGAATAACAGTGTTTGCTTTGATACAGGAGCTTCTGCACCCATTTAGAAATCTGTGGCAGAGGCTGCAAACCAGAAGCCCTTGAGTGAATTTGGCTCACAGATATGTTTTGTTTGGCTTTTACAGTATTGGTCAGACATAAGATTTGGATTAGCATTTCATTCACAGCAACAACTGGCTGGGATTGAGTAGTATCTGCACCTTATTGACAAGGAATGTGGTTTCCAGTTTGCTACAGTTCTCACTGCTTCCTGTTGTTTACCCAATAATAAGGCCAGATGTTGGTCACCATATATTGTGCTCGTGCTTTTGTTATTTTATGATGTTTCTCAGACTGCAGTGAGTATTTTATGATGTTTCTCAGACTGCAGTGAGTATTTTATGATGATAGACTAAATTTAAAAGGTATAATAATGTTGAAAAATCTCTCTTGTCACTTGGTAACATGGTTATTTTCTTAATTTAGTGTCTTCATTGGCTCCTCTGGCATGGAGCTGATATTATGCAAGCAACTACGAGAGGCTGGACAGCAGCTCACATAGCTGCAATCAGGGGTCAAGATGCTTGTATGCAGGTAATAATAACTTTGTTTAATTTTTCAAAATTCAGTTGAGTTTAATTATTTTAGCATAGTTCTGTTAAGCTATTGTTTCTATTCTAATAATTTGATTTCATAGATTTACTTCTATGTTCTAAACAAGAACTTACTGGATTTTATGACATATCTTTTGGTATCAACTATCCACTTAAACAAATGATATAAGAGACTCTTTTATCTTTGAAGCTGGTTATCTGTTTGCATTGTTTTAAGGGATGTCACAGTCATACCCAGATTATCTCCTTTATAGTTTGCCATGCCTAAAATCTCTTATTTTGTGTATTTCCTGGCCAGAATAACACATTGTTATGCGGCAGCATTTAGTTTATTACAGTAACTGGATTTAACTAATGTAAAGAAATAGACTGGAATTTGGAGGAATACAAAATTGTATAAGCAAACATCCCCTGCCTATAAGAAGCCTGAGATCTGTTTGGAGTGACAGGAGCTCTGCTCAGTGAGTTAGAAAACAATACAAAGCACAATTTATGATTGAGGTTCTAATGAAAAATACAGATGAGGAGAATTATAGAATTTAGGAGGAGGCAGAAGAATCATAAATGGAGGAAATAAAATTTTATCTAAGCCTGAAAGAATGGGTTGATTTCAAAGAAGTAAGTAGTAAAGAAGCTTTGTAGGTAGGAAATATGTTAGGAGCAAATAAAAATAATGATTATCATTTAATGAAAATTTTTAATGTGTTAATCACATTCTCCCCTGCATCACTTCATTTAATATAACAATCTTATGAGTTCTCTTTTTTATAGATTAGGAAACAAATTCAGAGAGTTAAGTACCTTGCTAAGTCAGTGACAAAGCAAGGATTTGACTTTGTCCTGTTAACCTCTATGCTGCAATTCTATGTGAAGTCCTTGAATTGGAAAAATGAGGTGTGTTCAGAGGATATACTATTATGTAAATTTAACTGTATGTAGATGGTTTGTTGTTTGGACTGTTATGAACTAAGTTTGGATAAGCTAGATTTGTAAAATGTCTTAGAAGTAAAATAAAGATTTTAGATCCGTGTGTATAGAAAAAGAGGTTTTATATACATATATACATACGCAGATACATACACATACGTACATATGCACGTTAACAAAAGAATGAGATAATGAAAGCAGTATTTCAGGATATTATTCTAGTGAAATGTATCCAGGATTACCTAGAATGAAGAGAGTTTGGAAGCAAGAAGACCAGTTAGAGATTTTTGGTGTAATCTCTAACCACGGAGGGTGAAATTAGGTGGTCGCAGTGGGAGAGAAAGAAAATTATTAAAGGCATCTTTCAAAGCAATCATTAACAAATTATAGTGAGAATTTAAAATTTTGAGTTAGAATGACAGACGATTATGAAACTATAGCTAGGAGAATCTGAAAGGCTGGGGAAACTTGAGAAGAAAGATTTTGAGTTCAGTTTGGCACATTTTGAGTTTAAGGTGCCTTTAGGTCATTCAGGTGCAAAAGGGGGCGGAGACTGATTTTAGCAGTAATAAAATATAGAGAAGTGTATAGAGTATTGAGGATTGAATGCCCAAGAATGTTACTAGTAGAGATGGAAAGATGCAGAGAAATGAGTAAAGAACTTGGAAGAGGAAGTCAGAGAGATAGGAGAGCCAAGATCCATTAGGGTTGTGCAAGTGAAGTAAGAAATTTAAGAATTAGACAGTATCAGTTACTGGATAGAACCAAGAATAAAGTTTAAAGAAATGCCATTGAACTTGAGAGCTCATTGTAGGGTAAAACTGGCTGTATTTCTATGCATTGGTGGGGATGGCACCCAGTTTGCAGATGGATTTGAAATTGAGGTATTTGAGAAGTAAGCAATGAAAGGAAGGAGAAAATACAATAGTAACTTTAGGGGACAACAGGGTCAAATGAAGTTTTACTTGATACATTTTTACCTCTAAGCATTAGTGAAGCCATTCCCTCTGCCTTGATTGTCCCTCTCTTCCTCAAAGTGGTCTCTTCCTTCTCAGAGCTGTTGTGGTATTTTTTGTGTACTGTACTGCATAGTCGTTGCTTTTAAAGGACAGCTTAGTATTGTTGATTTTGTTTTGTCTCTACAGTGTCCTAATTCTCTAAGTTGATATGTCTTCATATTCTTTTTAGTGACTTTTAAAACACAGTAAGCACTCAGTATATGGTTTGTGATGATTATTAACTAGTTTGTTAATGTGAATCAGACAACATCATGGAGACTATTCTTCCCAAAATTTTTGATAGGAATTGTTATTGAGTAAACTTTTGCTAAGATTGTGATAAATGTAGGCTGGTTAAAAAAAAAAGACTGAGGGAGAAAAATGAAAAAAAATTCACTAAATGAAAGCAATTACTCTGTATATTATATAGAGGGGTGTGCTGTGAATATGATATATCCCATATACAGAAACTGGGTCAATTGTAAATTCAGATGGAATCTACTCAGCCGCAGTTATAATTTTGATTTGGAACTTAGAACTTAGTTACTTTGATCATGAAATCCTTTTATTGTATTCAAAACTCAGTTAATAAAAGATTCTGCTTTTGAACTAGTGGGAGTTGACATTTCAGTTTTATTAGTTTAGCATTAAAGTATTTAATTTAGTGGTTATTAATCAGTGCTCATGAAAAGTGTGCCTATAAATTGTATATTCATGCTCAAATCAGATGTGAAATCAGGTCTCCTAGGCAATGTTAAAAAGGATCTTAAACATTTTCTTAGAATTAGCTAAGAACTTCTCACATGGCCTGTGGCACATATGTAAGAACATATATAATAATTTAGCTAGGTTAATAAATTGCTTACTGTAAATAATCTGTATCTGCATTTATAATTTAACATCTATATTCACATAAACTTATTCTTATTTTTCTATTTTTTAGGCTCTTATACTCAATGGAGCAAATCTGGCAGCTCAAGATGATCGTGGTTGCACCCCTTTACACCTTGCTGCAACACATGGACATTCTTTCACTTTACAAATAATGCTCCGAAGTGGAGTGGTGAGGGATTCCTGTTAATATGTGAGAATGTATAATCATATAGATGGAATAGCATTTGATAGTCTGGTTATCTCTTCCTGACTTTTTAAATTCCTTTTATAACTTTGGGGAAGTAATTTGATCTCTCTCTTTAGCTTTTCCATCTTCAAACATGGGAATGATAATATAGATAAATCTTGAAAAAAAAAAGTTTAATACAAATTATTTCAGAGGCTATAGGTTCTTCATGTCAGCTCAGTTTAACTAGGAAGATTCTGAAGCTTCCAAACACATGTTAACCAGTGATTGTAAACCTTTCCGAATTTCTGTGTGTAACTCTTATTTTGTATAATAGTTTAGAAAGTGATTTATATCTCCAGAAATTTTATTTATTATATTTATTTTTATAATTACCCAGTGGTTATAAAAAATAACTTCTTATAAGAAAAGAACTACCTATGTTGAAGACATTATGGTAAGAGTTGGTGTTTCTATAGTTAGAAAGAAAGTGAAAAATCTTATTAAGTATTTTTTCATTAACTCTTTGTTTATGCTCCCAAGCATATGATTTGAGCATTTGAATCCATCCCTTTCGTTTTAGTGGTTAGGAACCTGTGACCAGTAAAATGACTAGTTAAGTTCCTTTTTAAAAACTATTTTTATGTGACTAGTTATGTTCTTTTAAAAAAGACTATTTTATAAAATTTTATTAGTATGCTATTAGCTTGTATGTTCAAACCAGTGGTTGCAGTAAATTTTCCTATTATATTTAGTGTTTGCCTTATAGTTTTAAGAAAAGCCTCCAATTCTCATTTGCAGAATTAAGCTGCTAGACTTAGTCTTTCCCCTACAAAATGAAAAGAAACTGAGTCCTTGTGAATGTTACTTCTAGGATCCCAGTGTAACTGACAAGAGAGAATGGAAACCTGTACATTATGCAGCTTTTCATGGACGGCTTGGCTGTTTGCAACTTCTAGTTAAATGGGGATGTGGCATAGAAGATGTGGACTACAATGGAAACCTTCCAGGTATTCACAAAAGCAAATATTTTGGTTTTTCATTAATGTAAACTTTTAAAATGTTGATCATGTTTAAGAAATACAAACTGTCATCATTCTAATAGTTCCTCACAAAACTTAAGTGATAAATATGTTGACATGAACATTTTTTATATTATAACTATATTATATACCTGTCATGTGATTGTTTTTTATTTTTTCTGTAACTATATCAGCAAAAGAGAATTGGCCAAATTAAACTTGGATTTACTTTTCCAGCCAGCCATTTCCTGCATCTGTTGTCTAGTGTTATTATTTTTTAACTTCATATAGCTCTGCCTCACAGACTACTTTAAAAAATAATAGTATAACTAGGGAACCCTAGTGTATTTGAGTTAATTTGCTAACTGCAATCAATTGGCCAGTTGAGATCTATAAACACCCTGTCTTCTTCTAAGAGGTTCTGTGGCAATTCGGAAGAGGGATAGATCACAGTAAGATTGGAGGGAGGGTTACTAAAAATGATACTTGAATTATGTCTTAAAGGAATCTTCAGCAGCAAACAAATGGGGAGTGTATCTGGAAATGAGTATTTTGCTCTCATTCTTTTTCTAAAATAAATTTTTTAGTTTATTTTTGTATATGGTTTAAGAAAGTGGTCCAGTTTCATTTTTTTGCACGTATATGTTCAGTTTTCCCAGCACCATTTATTGAAAAGATTGCCCTTCCACATTGTATTTTCTTAGTCCTTCATTGCAGATAATTGCCCCTATAAGTGTGGGTTGATTTCTGGGCTTTATTCTGTTCCACTGATCTATGTGTCTGTTTTTGGCCTAGAGTTGTTAAGAGCCTGATGCAATAATTTAGACTACTGTTTGTTTGGACCAGAGTAGAGGCAGCAAGGACAGTGAGAAGTAATTGGAGTCTATGTATCTTTTAAAGGTAGAGCCAATTAGAGTTGCTGATTGATTAGATGTGGTGAGTAACAGAGAAGTCAAGGATGGCTCTGGGGCATTTGGCCCAAACTACATGGAAAGGAGAGAATTTCCATTAACTGAGGTTGGGAAACTATGTAAGGAAAATGTATACAAGAAGGATAAGAAGTTCGGTTTCTGACAAGTTAGAATTGCCTATAATACATGTAAGTGTATATGATGAGTTAGTGGTAGAAAACTTTGAAGTTTCAGGGGGGAGTTTTTTAGTGGAAGGTTCAACTGAGAAAGTGTAGAGGGAAATATGCCAGCAACTTATCTTTTGAGTATTGTGACTTTTTGTTTCTCCTGAGTTACACTGGTTACTTAAATACTGCCCTACCTCTCCACGGGCAAGATTTGTCTATTGATTGGGCTGTTTCTCAAATAGTTACTTCTCAAGAGATGTAAAGGCTTTCTTGTTCTCTGTAATCATTGCCTAGACTTGTAATTCCCCAGAACCATTTCTAATTTTTGCAGATTTTGGGTTGTGGCTCTTCCTTAATCAGATTCAATATATTTTCTTTCAGGGATTCCTTAATATTTTTTTGTCTGTTCATGATGTTCTTGTTTGTTTTTCTAGTACTTTATTGCTTTAAAAGATATCTTTTCTATTATTTTCAAAGATTTACAGTAGAAATGGTGAGGTAGTGTGTGTGCTTAGTCTACAGTTTTGATCCAGTCTTCTTGTTTATAATAAAAATGTTTGTGAATATAAATGTCTAACCATTATGCTATACACCTGAAAAAAAGTTTATGGAAAAGTGACAAAATACATAGTGATAAAAATGACATCATTCATACTTGCACAGTGTCTGTTTTGGTTTATTTCTTCTACTTTTTTTGAAAATATTAAAATAAATTTATCTATTATCTGTCTATTTTATATATCGAGCATTTTCTCATGTAATGATGAGCTGTATAATTGGGATTTCACATTCCCAGAACATTTTCTGAGGCCTACTCTTTGGCGACCCTCCTCTGGCCTCTCTACACTTACATGACTGTAACTATTCAACCATTTAGTCTGTTGCTTCGGCATGACTAGAAGGCTGAGTAATGACATGTAGGCTGGAAAAAAGGTCTGTTATCCTTGCTCAGAGTATGTCCCTGTTATATAGGGCAAGGATAGTCATCTCTCTGTGAGAATTAGAGTCAATGTGTTATTTTTTTTCCTGATTATTTTATTGTAAATTAAAAAATTAAATTCTTTTTTTTTCTATTCTCACCTATAGTTCACTTAGCAGCCATGGAAGGCCACCTTCACTGTTTTAAATTCCTACTCAGTAGAATGACCAGTGCAACACAAGCTTTAAAAGCTTTCAATGATAATGGAGAAAACGTACTGGATCTGGCTCAGAGGTTCTTTAAGCAGAACATTTTACAGTTTATCCAGGGGGCTGAGTATGAAAGAAATGATCCAAAAGATCAGGAAAGTAAGTAATAAACCTGAAATGTTTTAGCATTAATATGTAGAATAAGTGGAAAAGGAAAAAAGGAAGTTGTAAGTTAAATGTTGTATTAAAATATGTTACATATCATTGTCCATATATTCTTTCAGATTCCTCTTTATTATGAAATATTTTAGGCAGAAATATATATAAATTAATGTAACATAATGAACAATCTTTATACCACTATATTTAAGAATAAAATATTAGTAGTTCATTCCTTTTTATTGTTGAATAATATTTCACTGTATGGATGTACCATATTTTGTTTATCCTTTCAACTGATGTTCATTTGGATTGTTTCCAATTTGAGGCTATTATTAAAGCTGTTCTGAACATTTACATAGACATATGTTTGCATTTATCTTGGTAACTACATAGGACTGGGGTGTATGATAGTCGTATGTTTAACTTTAAGTTGTCAATCTGTTTTACAAAGTAGTTGTATTACTTTACATCCCCATCAGATATGAGAATTCTGTTTGCTCCATCAAATTACCAACACTCAATATGATCAGTCTATTTTAGCCATTCTAATGACATGTAGTGTTATATTATTGTGGTTTTAATCTACATTTTCTTGATAAGTAATGATATTGAACATTTTTCAAAAGGACATTTGTATATCTTCTTTTATAAAGTGTCTGCTCAATTCTTTATCCCATTTTTTGATTGGGTTGTTTGTCAACTAATTATTGAATTTCAACAGTTCTTTATGTTTTATCAGATATATGTATTGCAGATATTGTCTCCCATTCTGAAGCTTGCTTATTTTCTTAATAGTGTCTTTCAAAGAGCAAAAGTTTCAAGTTTTGATAAAATACAGTTTATCAGTATATTTGTAGGTCATGTTTTTTTGTGTCCTATCTGAAAATTTGCCTGCCCCAGGGTCAACAAGATATTCTCTTATGTTTTCTAGAAGTTTTACATTTTTAGCTTTTTAATTCATATCTTTGATCTACATCAAATTAAATTTTATATATTGAGTAAAATTAAGTGTTGACTTAATTTTTAAAAAATATATAGCCACTTGTCCTAACATCACATTTTGGGAAAGCCTTCCCTTCCCTACCTATTGAAATGTCTTGGCACCTTTGTCAAAAAATCAGATCATCTGTATATGTATTTCTGACCTCTGCATTCTGTCTTATATGTCTATTTATTTGCCAATGCTACACTGTTTTGATTACTTTAGCTTTATATTGGGACTTAGAACCAAGTCGTGGAAGTCTCCAGCTTTGTTCTTTTTAAAATACTCTTTGGCTATTCTAGGTTATTTCCTTTCTACATGTAAAAATGAGAATAGCTGCATCTCATAGTTATGAAGAGGGTTAAATGAGGCAGTTCTCAAAAGTGCCTATCATTTAATAAGGGCTCAATATATGTAGTTGTTACCATTAAAAACATTTTACCAGTAATATTCCATTGTATATATGTACCACACCTTTTTTATCCAATCATCTATCGAAGGGCACTTCAGTTTCTTCCATGTCTTAACCACTGTGAATAATGCTGCAGTGAACATCGGGGTGCATATATGTTTATAGATAAATGTTTTCAAATTTCAGGGTTAGATATCAAGAAGAAGAATATACTGCCATTTGCGATAACATGGATGGATCTTGAGATTATCATGCTAAGCATAATAAATCAGACATAAAAAGTTGTGAACCATATGATTTCACCCACGAGGGATATAACATTGAAAGCAACAGACAAACAAGACAAACAAAAACTCATAGACACAGACAACAGTTTAGTAGTTACCAGAGGGAAGGTGGGGAGGGGAGAGATAGATAAGGGTAAAGGGATCAAACATATGGTGACGGAAGGGAATTTAACTTTGGATGGTGAACATACAGTGAAGTATACATGTGACATATTATTGATTTGTGCACTTGAAACATATAATTTTCTTAACCAGTGTCACCTCAATAAATATAATTAAAACAAAGATAAAAACAAAAACATTTTATCAGGTATTTACTATGTGCTAAGCACTAGATCAGATACATTCACACATGTATATGTGTATATTTGTGTGTGTATATATGTATATATACACACTTTATCTGCTTCCAGTGTATTTTGCTTCCTTACAGAGAGAGTGGTCTGTGCAAATGTAGGACTTGAGACCAAGTATGTCTTTATGCAAAAGGTTAAAAATGACTATCTCCCTGTGTTTTGTGGTAGCTTGAAGGTAAAAGGGAATATGACTCAGAATAGTTCTGGTATAATACTATTCCTGGGATGTTTGAGATCTGGAAGGGTGGAAGGGCTACCCAATTAATAATAATATTATTTTATGGTTCTCTTTTTATTTTCAATGCATCAACTAGACTAATTCCAATATAACATTGTCATACCTGAGTTAATATTGAAATCTGAAATGTGTGACTGCTTAAGGAATGGAAAAAGAATGAACTCATGTGTTTACTGAAATGCTGAATTTTTTATTCATAGCTTTAGCATTTCCAGGTCATGTGGCTGCCTTTACAGGTGACTTGGAAATGCTTAAAAAGTTAGTAGAAGATGGAGTAATCAACATTAATGAACGTGATAATCATGGATCAACTCCTATGCATAAAGGTGAGTTATGGTTCCTGCTTCATTTTTATTTTTGACACAATTGCTGTTGAGTTGTTTACCTTTTAACATAATTATCCATCAGAAACACATGAAAATGTGTACAGAGTGCTTAATTTTCAACTCAAGTGTGATATCCCTTTTATGATGTTAGAAATTCACACTATCACATTTGAGGGTAATTCCAATAGAAATTCTCTTTTGACATTGTCATGTAGTTAAGGTGTGAAATTCACTGCTAGAGAAGTTTCTTAGGATTAACATATTTTCTTTGGACTGAAAATGACCTATTAATTCATGCTAACATAGAAACCATATCTCTTTAAAAAGGTCTAGCAGAATTTCTTCTTATACTCTGCAAAATAGGTTTTAACTTCTGTGGAAATATCAGTGAACATGCTTCGAACACATTTTCAAGATGTCTGTTGCTTTTCTTTGTGCTCTCCTTCATTCTATGGGGAATTCTAAAATATTAGTCAGGTTTTTTTGTTTTTTAATCAGACTTTGGCAAATTGTCAACTCAGTGTCGGGAGTGTGCACTCTAGAATTTATTCTCGCCAATCTTCCTTTTATTTTTAAAATCAAAAACCAAATCTTTAACCTACTACACTTGAAATTTTTATTTTACTTCATTTGTGTTATTATGTTTCTTCATAATCTGATGGCAGAAAATTCTTATACAAAAGTCTTAGGCTAAAAAGATAGTAGTTATGTTAATATAGTCATATGTTTGAATTGGATTTTGTTTTATGAATAACTTCTGGCAGTCTGTGCGTTAAGCTCTTCACTATGGGATTTGTGAATGAGATGGAGACTTAAAATGAGCATAAAACATTGTATTTTCTTTTTCTTTAAACATGCTGCCTTGAAGCAAAGCCCACATTTCATAACCTAGGTAGAACTGGTTTTTATTCCTAATGTGTATGTGGGGTGTCATTTATGAGAGAGCAAAAGATAGGCTCATTCATAGTGCTTACAATGCTTTTGCAGGGGAATGATAAAGTAAGTTGTATTGACAGATAGTTTTCAGCCTATTTCATTTTGTCACCACTTAAACTGAGATGGAAATGAGGAATCTGGAAGAAGATTCTAAACAGTTCGATGTACAACAATGGAGTGTTGGGGATATAGCCCAACTATATCCCAGGAACTCAGTAATAGAAATTGAACAGAAGAAGTTGCTAAGGGTTAAATTATTGAGGAAATGTTCATGAGAATTCAGAAATAATACCTTATATTTATATCATACTTAACAGGATGCAAAACTATCATATTTAATCCTTATTGTATTTTAATGAAATGGCAGTATATTCTCCTTATAAATATGAAATTATCTATGTAAAAGATGAGGAAATTGAGATTCATAGGGATCAGGTTTTTTGACCAAGGATACACAGCTGGTAAAAGCAAAGTTGAGATTACATTTTTTTTTTTTATTCATTCATTCACCAATCAATTCTATAGACATTTATTGAGGGTCTGTATGTGCCAGCCACTTGCTAAGTTCTGTCCTGTCCTCCAGTCTCATTGTTTAGTATACTTAAATTCAGATCTTTTAAGTCTATTAAATTTTTTTCCATAGTTTCACTGAGCCAATATAGATCCAAAAGGATGTGTAGAAGTTAGATGAGCACATAGTTGAGTGTTGGGAACTAGATGAGAAGACAGTCATAAGCAGAGTTGTGCAGATGAAAATTAATATTGAGTGTATGTGTTTTGAGGACAAGATTTATAAAGAGGTGGTAAACAGTTTAGGTAATCTGTGGGGGGCGCCTGTAAATTTTGAGTTGTAAGAGTCAGAGGAATATGCTGTTCATATAAGATGGCACAAGGTTTTTCTTTTTCTTTCTTTCTTTTTTTTCCCACAAGATTTTTCAGTTAATGTGGGTCCCTATGGCTGAATTATGCTCATATTCTGCTGTGATGTAAGATTGGCCAGGAGCTATACATAATAGCAGATAAGCACTGGATAAGAATTAGAAAAAACCTAGATTATAGTTTCAAATCCATTTGTTACTAGCTGTGCGATATTAAATAAATAACTTCTATGAGCTTCAATTTTTATACCTGTATGTAAAGTTCTCTGTATAGGGATGAGTGTAGTAGATATTGTCTAATGAATGAATAAATGAAATAGGGAAAGTAATATCTGCCTAATGTATTTTTGTTGGTGTTTGCAAGGATTAATACTTATAAAAGTACTGTCCAAAATTTTAAAAAATTGTTACTACTGATAATAATTTTTCTGTATTTTCTAGTTATTATTATTATTATATTATTTTTACAGCTGCTGGACAAGGCCATATAGAGTGTTTGCAGTGGATAATTAAAATGGGAGCAGACAGTAATATTACCAACAAAGCAGGGGAGAAACCCAGTGATGTGGCTAAGAGGTATGTCTATTTGCTTTGCTCCTTTCTTTTGCTTTTTAAGTTTTGCATATATTCTCTTATACTCAGAAATGTATGAAGATTTAATGGAATTGTAGAACTCAGACAAATGCTGATGGAATGATAATTTTCAAGCTGAATAGACATTTGACAATACATCAATTCTTCTCTCTAAAGCACTGATTCTCAACTGAGAGGTAGTATTGTCTTTCTTGGGGATATGGGCATTTGGAAATAAGTGGGAGTTTGTCATAATGACTAGATACCATCACTAATATTTAGTGAAGTCAGGTCCAAAAATTCTTAAATACTAAATGTTCTACAGTACTTAGAATAGTGGTATACAACATAGAATTATCCCACCCAAATGTTGGTACCTGTTGAAAAGTATTATATGATAAAAAGGAGTAATCAAAAGGAGTCACATGGGTTTTAAAACAAATTATTTATGTTTGAATTAAATATAACACTTATTATCGAACACCTCCAGCTCAGTCCTCAAGGAATATTTAGGTCAGATCTTCAAGGAATATTTAGTCCATCCATTTGTTCATTTGGTGTTCTTTTTTTTTTTTTTTAATTCAACCTCCTGTATACTTGAATTCCAAGTGTGACAATTAACATTAGGATTACAAAGATGAAAAAACATAGTCCTTGCCCTCAAAGGAGCTTACAGTCTTACAGAGAGAGAAATTTGTGACATTATTATTAATTATAATCATTATATCATAATATATGTTATATATAAGGTACAGTAAGGAGAAAAAGTGCCCAAGTCTTCCTATTTGAAAGTTGTGGGGAAAAATATTAATATAAGTCATGGTAAGAGTTATGAAGGAAACTGCCAGAGGACAGAATTTATATAGAAGTCATGGAAAACTTTTTTTTTTATGGAGGAAGCAACATTTATGCTGACATTTGAACGAGGAAGAGTTGTAAGATAACACTTGTGTGTTTGAGGAACTGCATGTGGTTCAGAACTGCTTTTATCTAAAGTAAGAGTGTGGGCTAAAAGTTGTAAATGGAGCTTGAAGGAAGCAAGGACCTAATCATTCATTAAATTGCCATGCAATTTTTGTTTGTGAGTTCATGTTTCTTAAAATTTTGTCTGTGGGATTTCTTTGAAGCTTTGAAATGTGATTTAGTTGTACCATGTACTAGGAACATGATCAACTCAGGTCTACTTTATTTTTATTTTTTAAAACAGCTTTATCAAGGTATAATTGGCAGACAATAAAGTACACATACGTGGACATTACAACCTAATGAATTCTGACATATGTATACATCTATGAAACCATCATCACAAGCAAGATAGTGAACATATTCATCACCCCCAAAAGTCTCCTTATGCTTGTAATCTCTCTCTCATCCATTGTTCCTCAAGCAAACATTGATCTGCTTTCTGTCACTATAGATTAGTTTGCATTTCTAGAGTTTTAAGTGACTGGAATCAGAGTCTATATTCTTATATATCTCACTTCTTTCACTTATCATAATTATTTTGAGATTCATTCATATGTATTAGTAGTTTATTTCTTTCTTATTACTGAGTAGTATTCCATTGGATGTAGAATTCCATAGTGTTCCATAGTTTGATTATCCACTAACCTGTTGAAGGACATCTTGATTGTATCCATTTTTTTGGTGATTATGAATAAAGCTGCTATAGACATTCATACACAGGTTTTTGTGTGAACTTAAGTTTTCAGTTCACTTAGGTAAATACTTAGGAGTAGGATTGCTGAATCATTTGCTAAGAGTATGTTTAACTTTATAAGAAATGGACAAAGTACCCTCTAAAGTGGGTACTTTGCATTCCCACTAGCCGTGTATGAAAGTCTCTGTTTCTCCCTATCTTACCAGCATTTGAAATTGTCAGGTTTTTCGATTTTAGTAGTTTTAATGTATGTGTAGTGGCATCTCATTATGGCTTTAATTAGCATTTTTCTAATGAAAATGATTTTGATTTTGAGCATCTTTTCATCTACATACTTGCCATTTGTATATTTTCCTTTGGTGAAGTGACTGTTCAGATCTTTTGTCTACTTTTTAGAACTGCTTTTTTTTTTTTAATTGTTGAGTTTTAAGAGTTCTTTCTGTATTCTGGTTATTAGTTCTTCCACATTTTTGTTTCGCAAAGATTTTCTCCCATTGTGGCTTGTTTTTTCATTTTCTTAATGTCTTTGAAAGCAGAAGTTTCTATCAATTTGTTCTTTTATGAATTATGATTGTTATCATATCTAAGAAATCAGTGATTAAAACAAAGTCACAAAGATTTTCTCCTATGTTTTCTTTTAGATATTGTATAGTGTTAGGTTTTAAATTGAGATCTGTGATCCATTTTATGTTAATTTTTGTATATACTTTGAGGTATGCATCCAAGTTTTTTTTTTAATGTGGATATCCAGTTATTGTAGCACCATTTGTTGAAAAGGTTGTCCTTTCTCCACTGTATTACCTTTGTGCCTTTGTCCAAGACAGTTGTCCATATACATGTGGGCTTATTTCTAGACAATTTTCTCCATTGATCTATTTGTCTACCTTTATACAAATATCACATGGGCAATTGAATACTATGGGTGTGTCAGGAGTTATTCATATTTCTGGCCCACATTTCTTTGTCATTCATGCACCAAAATGCTAGGTGTGAATATAGTATTATCAAAATAACATGGAATCTAGCATAAAGCAAGTGCTAAGTAAATGATAGCTGTTAAATTACAACCCAGTAGTAGAAAGAATTAATTATATTAATCTTACAATTTCCTACACATGTTTATTACCATATCTTTAATGATTTGTAGTATCTGGTGGAAGGTAATGATATATGTGTGCATATGCATGTGGTTATGTAAGTATGTGAAAAATAGAATTTGAGGTTTTTGTGTTTAGTGAGTAATTCTCCATGTCCTAAGAGAAAGCATTAAACATTTCAATTAGTGAAACTGGAAAAAATATTCAGATTACATGCAGTCATAACAACAACAGCTCCAAAACAAAGAATATATTATTGGAAGCTTCATAGAGATAAAAGAAAATAGAAAAAGTGGATGGAAAAGTCATTATTTTTCCATTAAATTTCAAAGCCATGCTAAGTGTTTTGGATTGAACAAGAATGAAGATTAAGGGGGCTAGAGCTACAGTTAACCCTAAAACTGGAACCAGAACTAATTCTACAATCTAAATTAGGCCATCAATAAAGGTAGTAAATGCAGGTAATCAGGTTGGGTGGTTTGGGGCTTTTTATTCAGTTGAGCAGCTGTGTTTGTAGGCACACACTTTAGATACTGGGTCTCCTCAATAAAAATTATGGAATCAGTCTTTAATATGACTGCTTGTCCTTAGTGTCCAGTAACGGAGTTTTCCATGTAGCTAGATATAGTACATCTAATTGTCACTCATCTTCTCATACAGTTTCACTCCTTTACTATTGAGTGGGTTGGTGGCATAATATACAGAATGTAATTCCCTAAATTAAATGCAAGCTATAGTTTCAATTTGAAGATTGTGGATCTTGTTAATTGTTGGCTCTTTTCTACAGGTTTGCCCATTTAGCAGCAGTAAAGCTATTAGAGGGGCTACAGAAATATGATATAGATGATGAGAATGAAATCGATGAAAATGACATGAAGTTTTTTATAAGACATGGTGTTGAGGGAAGCACTGATGCCAAGGATGATTTATATCTTAATGAGTCGGATAAAACAGATGCCAGAAGTAAGTGTGCCAACCCTGTTGTGATTTATTCTTTAATAGATACCACAACTAGTTTTTACCACAAATTTAGAAATTATCCTAAAGAGAATTACCAGCTACAAAATAAAATACTTTGATTTTGGAGAGAACTAGAACTAGTACAATTTTTGTACCAGAGATTGTTGAACATACAAAAAAATCATCTCTGTTCCTCAAGGAGGAAAAAGTTATATAAGAGGAAATATTATTTAATTAGATCATAGGAAACAGAGAAAGAGACATCTCAAGGATGGTGTATCACCAAGGAAGTGGTGACAGATAAGGTTGCAGACATAAGCAGGAGCCCAGTCAGATCAATAGGGTATAACAAGGACTTTGTGTTTAGATTTTATTTTTAATAGAAAGCCATTGGTGGGTTCTGAGGTGGGAATATTGTGATCTGATTTATGTTTAAATATAATATCAATCTAGTTGTTGGGTGGAGAGAATAGACTGGGAAATGGGGGAGAACATAGCATTTCAGATGTTATGAATAGGTGGGAGGAGAACATAGTTACTTGCCCATAAAAGGTTAGAGGAAGTTCTTTACGTAATTTAAATTTGCCAAGAAAGCAAGATTAGAATTGTATAAGAGCAGATGCAGAATCTCTGCACAGATTTCCTGGGCTCCTAGAGTCCTTGATGTAGGCCTGCAACTACCAGTGATGCCGGAAATCTCCATTCTTATTTTGCTTCAGCCTTTTTATTCTAAAAGCTTTCATTACCATTCAAGAAGAGCTTACATAAATATCTGTTTATCTCTCTTTAAGGTATAGTTTGTATATCAGGCTTTCTTGGTTCTTCATCCAAACTCAGCATTGGTAAGACCATACTTTATCTGGAGGGTGGCGGAAGAGAAAGCTGAATCAGAATCCAGTTGGCCTTGACTATTTTGCCTCTAAATTGCTGGTCTCGTGGAAAACCCATTTCCCTTCACAAGGCTAAGGCAAAGCAGAGAGATCAGTTAGGGGGCTGAGACCTCAGTTCAGGAGAAAGTTGATAATGGCTTAGACTAGAGTGAGAATGATGGAAATGGTGAGAAATGGTCAGATTTGGGTGTATTTAGAAGCTAGGATTTGCTGGTAGATTTGGATTTGAGGTGTTAAAGAATGAGCATAGTCATAGTTGACCCTTAGATTCTTGGCTTGTGCTGCTAGGTAGTGAGTTTACAAAGACAGTTATTTACTCCAGATAGAATAGCAGAGAAAGCTTTTCAGAATTTGGATTTTTCCTCAAAGGATGGCCAGAATTTAGATAGCAAAAACAGATAAGGAAGGCATTCTTTTCATCCAGCATATATTTTAATATTTACTCTGCACACAGCCCTGGACTAATGGGATATAGCAGTGCATCAGAAATAGTCTTGCTTTCTGAAATTCAGAAAACATTCTGAACCTGCTCAGTATATTATTAAAAGAAGTGAGTGACATTGTGCTTTATCTATTTTTCTTTCTCTCCCACCACTCAGCATATATTTATTGAGTACCTGTGATGTGTCAGGCACTGTTCTGGGTGCTGGGGTTACATTGGTGAACAGACACATCGTTTCTCTATATTTGGTTGTTTTCTAAAGTGCCTGATATTTTTTTAAGTTGTAAAAGTCTTCATCATCTGCTCTTTCATTTCCACAATAGCAATGTTAATAACTTAACCATATTTGCTAATGGGATATCCTAAAATAGTTTTACAGTTTTATAACTAAATCAAAATTTATAACTAAATAAAAAATATTTTTTGTTTTTTTCTTTCATCAAATTGCATTATGGAGAGATATATATATATATGCCAAAGGATTTAATTTTCATAATTGCCAATGAAGGACAGTCTTATTTCATTAAATGGTGTCTTAGTATGCTTGGACAGCCATTACAAAATACCTCTGGAAGTTCCAGATCACTGTCTGGCAGGGTCTTTTTTTGGTGAGGACTCTCTTTTTGGGGTGGAGAAGGCTATCATCTCGTTGTGTCCTCATGTAGTGGAGAGAGAGTGAGCCACACTGGTGTCTCTTATAAGGACACCAGTCCCTTTGGACTAGGGCCACACCCTCATGAGCTTATCTAACCCTAATTACCTTCCAAAGGCCCTACTTCCAAATACTATTACACTATGCTTAGAACTTTAACTATATGAACTTTGAGGAGACACAAACATTGAGTCCATAACAAATAGTTAAACATTAAAATACCCCAAATTAGCGAGAAATGTGGGAGTGTTTCTGTCTCTTAAGAGGATATATGATGATGTTGATGCAAATGAATATCCAGGAGGTAGCAAGACAGTGGCATATCTTAGTGTTATATTTCTTATTGAACATACTGGAACTAAGTTAAAGTCTGGTAATTGGTGCCAATTTTACTTTCTCTAGCATTTCTACTGATAACACAGTTACTGGCATATAACTCTCCTGTCAGAATTTTTATTCTCCAAAATCCTAATAGTAATGATTTACACTTCTATAGTGTTTTACAAAGTTTACATAACACCTCCACATACATCATTCACAGTAAGCCCATGAGGCATATAATATCTCTATTTCTATTTTTAAAAATGCTCATTTAGTATAATACCCTTATTCGATAGTTAAAGAGCCTGAAGTTCAAAAAAGCTAAGTTAGTTGCCCAAAGTCACACAGTGACTAGAAGCAAGGCTTTCGGATTTCCCTATATGGTATCCTTGTCACCACATACATTGCTTCCTGAAAGAATGTTTTCTTGTCACATAACCCTAATTTTACTTCTCATGATATTTGGTCAGAGAGCCATGATTCATATGAATAGATAAGAAGAACTGTTTTAGTGGAGCTCTGTCACGGAAGAAAGGTGAGAAGGTTCTATTTGAACTGAGGCTAACCAAAACAAAGGCAGCTGTAGTAAAGTGAGTAGAGCTTGGGTACTAGATTCAGACATCAGAGCTTTATCATTTTCTGGACAGTATTTTCAGTTATTCTGGCAGGAAGAACTAGTTTTACTCTATTCTCTTAGGAAAATTTCCAACATGGCTAGATTAAAAACAATTTTTAAAAAGAGCTTCCAGAACATTGTTAGGCAGAACCTTACTCTTGAGGGAATGGTGGAAGCCTCTTTTCTGGTGAATGCAACCAAGGGCAGACCTGAAGATGCTGATACCAGGGGATCCCAACAGCCACCTAAATTACCTCACAGTGAGGTTAAGAGTTAATGATTCCTTCAGAATTTTCTGACAGCTTTATTTTAAATAGCTTTATTAAGATATGATTTCATATCATTCAGTTTACCCATTTAAGGTGTACATTTTAATGGTTTTTAGTATATTCACAGATTTATGCAACCATTACCACAATAAATTTAATAACATTTTCATCACCCCAGAAAGAAACCTCACAACCAGTAGTAGTCACTCCCCATTACCATGAGCCTCTTCTCCCTTCCCGCCAAGTCCCATCTCTAGGTAACTGCTAATCTATCTTCTGTTTCTATAGAGTTCTCTATTCCAGGCATTTCCTATGGAATGATACCATTTGTAGTCTTTTGTGACTGACTTTTTTCATTTAGCACAATGTATATAAGATTCATGCACATTGTAACATGGATCAGTACTTCATTTCTTTTTATAGTCAAATAATATTTTTGTGTGGATATACCACATTTTATATATCCGTTCATCAGTTAATGGACATTTGAGTTGTTTCCACATTTTGGCAGTTATGAATAATGCTGCTATGAACATTCATGTACATGTTTTTGTGTGGACGTATGTTTTCATTTCTTTTGGATAAATACGTAGGAGTTGGAATTGCTGGGTATCTGGTAACTCTATGTTTAACATTCTGAGGAACTTTCCAATGTGTGCATGATTTTACATTCTCACCAGCAATATATTAGGGTTCCAGTTTCTTTACATCCTTTCCCAATACTTGCTATTGCTTGTCTTATTGATTATAGCTATTTTAGTGAGTGTGAAGTGGTATTTCATAGTCTCGATTGGCTTTTCCCTAATGATTAATGATGTTGAGTATCTTTTCATGTGCTCATTGACCACTTGCATATCTTTTTTTGAGAAATGTCTTTTCAAATCCTTTGCCTGTTTTTCAACTGAGTTGTTTATCATCTTATTATTGAGTTGTAAGAGTACTTTTTTTTAGCTATAAGTCCCTTATCAGATATATGACTTGCAGATATTTCTCCTATTCTGTGAGTTGTCCTTTTAACTTTCTCAATGACGTCCTTCGTAGTGTAAAGGTTTTTAATTTTAGTGATATCCAGTTTATCTACTTTTTTATTTTGTTGCTAGTGCTTAGATTACTTTTTGGTGGTTACATTCAGAGTTAACAAGTTAAGAACAGCAGAGAATGAGCAGTTGATTTGTAGAATTTCATTTTGAGATACCTGTGAGGGTTATCATTGTCAGTGAACCACAAAATTTTTAAAGACATTTCAGGAAGGGTCGAGAACATGACTAGAACAGTTTCCTATTGTGGTGTGTTCGATACGAATGCACTCTTTTACTTTTGCCATACTGTGTGGCTCACTAATGCCCAATTGCAGTGCCATATATGAAGTTATGTGTTATTTTCTTGTCCCTATTTAATTTTATTCCAGGGCAAAACTCAAAGGACAAGATGACCTTTTCTTGGGACACTTGGTTTTGCCAGAGTACCTACATGAGACCGGTTGGTTATCTTGTCATCATAGATTTCTGGAACTGAGCCTTAATTTAGAACATTTTTCAGTGAATTATATTTAGGATCATGGTATCGTAGAACCCTATAACTATTTGAGGTTTGACTCCTGGCTCAACATTCCTGTCACATGTGTCATCCAGCATCCACTCAATCACCTTTAGTGACAAGGCACTTACTGTTGCCCAGGGGGCCCATTTTCATCTTTTGACAGTGTTTTTGTGAGGATTAAAATGTATAAATACTTATTGTGGTGTCTTACACATCATAGGCACTTCACAAATACATGATCGCTCTTGTTTTTTTGAAACATTTCTCCTTTGTTGAGTTAAAAATCTCTCTTCCTGGAACTAATCCCAATTAATCCTAGTTCTTACCCTGATGATACCATAGAACAGCTCTTTCAAAACATGACTTTCAAATAATAAATAATTATTATATAAGCTAAATAGCCACAGTTCTTTTGATCTTCTCTTTTATGAAACTTTTTTTAATCCCCTCTACTTGCTAGTAGTTACAGTGGTTCTCAAACCTGTTTGTCCTTCAGGAGTTTTTTCCTAAGTACTGATACCTGAATTTGTAGGTCTGGTATGGGGCTCAAATATGTACACTTTTAAAAAGGCATCTCAGTTGATTCTGATATATGCAGTTTGAAACATGCAGCTCTAACCCATTGAGAGATAAATCAGAGTGGTGTTAGGGAGTACGGGCTAATTTGTTGACCTGGTCCCATAAAGCAGGATTTCTCAATTTCTCTACTGTTGACATTTTTTGGGCTATATACTTATGTGTTGAAGGAGCTCTCCTGTCCTTTTTAAGATGTTTAGTAGCACCCTGAGCCTGTAGATGCTGATAGCCTGTTCTACACCTACCAAATCACAAGCAAAAATGTATCCAGTTGTTGTCAAATGTCCCTTGGGGAGAAAATCATTCCAGGCTGAGAAGCACTACCACAAAGGATAGAAAAATCATAGGTTTTATAGTTGGAGAATAGCTAAAAGCAACTCTCAACACACTTCTCTCAGTATCCTCTTGCATAGATAGTACAAGTAACTAATCATAAAATTTTGGGACTGGGTTAGTTCTTGTTTATTTTAAATAAATCCAGCATATTTCAGGTTTTCTAATTTTCTGACCTGCAGATTATGCATGGTCCTATAATACACCACTAGTCTTAAAACACTGATAGTCTTCTTTAAAAATTCTTGTTCATAGTATTAATAGTCATAACCATCTGATATATCCTCCAATAGCAGGAAAAAATGCTTTATTTAGGTTTTCTGTTGCTTGTTCATCTTAATATTCTGTTACTGATATTTATCCTTCTATGTTTATACCACTCTCCTTGCACCCCTTCCCCAAACCACATAGACACTGGCTCTAGAGGAAGAATGTGCTCCAGGACCAGCATCCTGTGAGTACATGAGCTGTTACCTATCTAAATTGCATTCCTATTCAACTCTGTCTTACAGTGAGAGCTTATAAGAAAATTGTAGAATTGAGACACCTTCTGGAAATTGCTGAGAGCAACTATAAACAGTTGGGAGGGATAACAGAAGAAGATCTAAAGCAGAAGAAAGAACAGCTCGAGTCTGAAAAGTAATGTCCTCAAAACTTAAATGGTTTGTTTTTAGTTATCTCTCTCAATTCCACTTGAGAGGTTGTCAACCAACAACTTGTTTTATCTCCATCAAAAGGTATAAGATTCCGTCCTTTTTTCCTCTTAAGCCCCTATATGGAGGTGTTAAGATTGCTTTTTATTGTGGTGAAATAACATAACATAACATAAAATGTATTATCTTAATCATTTTTAAGTGTACAATTCAGTGGTGTTAAGTACATTCACATTTTTGCACAACTGTTCTCTAGAACTCTTTTCTTCCTGGAGCTCCATAAAGAGGTTTTTTGTTTTTGGTTTTTTTGTTTGTTTGTTTGTTTGTTTGTTTTTTGAGAACACAGCTACTTTGAGCTTTTCAACCAAAACACAGTCTCTAACCATCTCTATAAAATCGTACTATTTACTTACGAATCTGAGACCCATGCTCTCATGTCTAGAGGTAGTGAGCAGTTGCATTCTTTACTTCCTGCACCCTAAATTGGCTCTCTGCACATTTGGTGCCTCTCTAATTAATGGCTGCTGGAATAGAGGATGCCTAGTGCTTATTTCCTACCGTGCTTCTCTGCTTGTCCATCTGCTTTTTAGATTGGACGGTGTACAAAGGGAGACAGGAGAGGAGACTTTTATTTTAATCAGAACTTGGATCTGTAAAGAACAGCACATATGGATTCTCCTCCTTTCCTGCCCTCTCTTGTGGTTGGGTCTCTTTCTCTCATATTCTTAGAACCTCCTGTTTCTTTTTCTTCCACCATCTTTTGAATCTAGACTCAGTAAGAGGTCTGGTAAATATATGCAGAGTAACATCTATATCTTTGATAAGGATTAATATGTTATCTTTCTTTGGGTACTTGGGAATTCGAGCAGAAGACAAAGCTTTGAGCCAAAATATTCTCTTTTAGTGGAATTTTAGATATTGAGAAGCTGTGGCAGACCAAAAAAAGATATATATTTTTAAAATCAGGGGCCTTCTTGGTGTCTCACAAATCACATCATATAGCTAGCTGTTCATTTTTTCTATAAGGATTACAGTGTTTTGAGATTTAGAATATTTTTTGTATTGTCTTTTGCCTAAAGCCTAGCTGAAAGTTTTTAGATTCTCTTGTAGTCACCTAGCTGAAAGTTTTTAGATTCCCTTGGAGTCTCCTAGCTGAAAGTTTTTAGATTCCTTTGTAGTCTAGAAGAGTGGAGCAATTCTTTTCTAGATAATGAGTTTAAATTTTGGTTTCCTTTGCTTCTCTTTTAAGGCAGATTGCTATACTTTTGTTATAGCTACTTGAATTACTTCTCAATACTACCATGTGCCAGGCACTAGATAAGCCTCTTATATACCTTATCTCATGTAATCTTCACAGCTCCAAGAGCACATTGCACAGATTAGGAAACCAAGACTTAATATAGAGCTTAAGTTACTTGAATATCCAAACCTATTATCTAAGATCATTATGATTTTAATAGTTTTTAATGGAACTTTTACTCTAAAGTTCACATTTCAGTGTGAAATGTTTATACTATCGATGTGATTTTGAAGAGATTTTTTAAGAAGATTGCCTTAGCTCTTGTGCCAGAATATAGTTTCATATCTGCTGAGACTGCAGTGTTTCTTCTGACTAAGCTTTAATTCTTCTCTAGCATTTGTTCTACACTTTGTGTAGAATGCAACTTAAAACATTTATTCTTTGGATAAAAACTCCTGATCTTAGATCTCATTATAAAGAAAAACTAGATAAGTGCTGGTTTGAGAGATGCCCTTTCGTTTTTGTTTTTATCCATTAGCTCAAACTCTCACAACAGTAAAACATAGTTGTATTACTCTGTCCTGGGGATGATTTTCTCTTCTTATTTGCTTAATTCTAAGCATCCACAGTTGATATTCTTCTTCCCTGTCCCCAGTCTTAATCCCTCTCACTTCTGTACCAGAGCAACTACTATGTTCTCTGAGATTTCCTTCCTTGGCACCTGACATCCAACTCAGCATGCCTTGGGAATTCTCTTCCCCTCACCATCAAACAATAATGCAGGAAAAAAAAACCTGGTTCAAATCACATTATCTCTTGCCTGGATTTATCTTAACATCTCCCTAATATGTCTCCCAGCTTCCTGTCCCTGCTCCCTGATTCTCTGCCCCCATACCTTGCAGTCTGTTCTCAACACAGTATCCAGAGTAATCATTTTAAAACCTAAGTCAGATAAATTTCACATACTGTTGACTGAAATAAGAAAGGTACACAAAAATATAAAATATTCAGTTTCGTTTATAAGCATAGGCAAAACTAATCTAACATGATAGGTATTTAGAACTGTGGTTGCCTGTGGAAGTGAAGGTTGCCCGGGAAGAGCATGAGGGAACTTTCTGAGGTGATGGAAGTATTCTATATCTCAGTAGTGGTGAAATACAAGGGTTTGCACGTTTATCAAAACTCTTGAATTTTTCACTTGATATTTATGTATTTCACTCAAGATAAATTTTACATCATTAAAAAAAAGCAAAACAAAACAAGTCTAAGTCAGATCATGCCATTTCTCTGCTCAGACTCTCTAATGGTTTTCTACTTCACTCAGTAAAAGCCTAGGTCCTTGCTCTGACTTACAAGGCTCTGCTTTTTCTGGATCCCTTTTACCTCTCTGACTTATAACTCTCTCTTGTATACATGAAAGTACTCCAGTCACATTGGCCTCCAGTTTTCTTCCAATTCACCAGGGATACTTCTGCTTTGGGGCCTTTGCATTTTCTGTTCTCTCGGTGTGGAATGCTCTTCCCCTGGATGTCTATTTAATTATCTTTTTTATTTCCTTTAGGACTTTGCTCAGAAACCCCCTTCTCAATAAGGCCTTCCCTGGTCACTGTGTATAAAGTGTTAAACCCCTCTTTGACAACATTTTATATTATGCTTTCTTGCTTTATTTTTTTCTCCCTAAGCATTGATCACCTTCCAACATAACCATATTTACTTTATTTTCTTTACTGTTTGTCTCCCTCCACTGCTAAGGTAAGCCCCATGAGGGCAGATTTGGCCTGTTTTGTTCCCTGTGTATCCCCAAGGTCTAGAATAGTGCTAGTTCATAGTAGACTCTCAATACATATTTGTCAAATAATTATTTTTTTATTTGTCTTAAATACAATGCATGAATACTTTTTACTATTACCAAAAATAATATTTAGTTCATGTTGGAGCTTGACTGAAAACAAAATTTCTTTTGACAGGACTATCCAAGAGTTGCAGAGCCAGCTGGAATATGAACGACTACGTAGAGAAAAATTAGAATGTCAGCTGGATGAGTGTCGAGCCGAGGTGGATCAACTCAGGGAGACCCTAGAAAATATTCAGGTCCCCAACTTTGTGGCTGTGGTTGGTGTCCTTAACACATTTATCTTTCTCAAGAAGTAATATACAAGAGTAGATAAGAATATAAGTTTTGGGCTAGGGCTGTTTGGATTTGAATTCTGGCTATAACCCTTTTTGGTTTGAACAAGTCATTTAATCTCTCTATGCCTTAGTTGTGAACTCGAGATAATTTATACTCCCTAGAGTGTTGTAAGGATTAAACGAATATATATACATTTTCATGTATGTATATGTGTGTATGTGTATATATAACTACATGAAAATATAACTATATAAAACTTTATGTATATATATACACATACATATATGTCTACTATATATTGGTTAGAAGAGCAGCCTGGTTCATATATGTGCAGTAGTTATTGTTATTATTATACCACATAAGGAGAAAATATTTTTTAAGCAAAGTGATAAGAATTTTAAGATAGAGAGTATATATATTTTAACATTCTAAATAGCCCAAATAAAGTGCTTTGAATGGAATCCATATAAGAAAGCTTCAGCTCCTCAAAAGAGCATTTTTAAGAATAGAAAGGAACCAGTGCAGAAGTTGTCATAACATCCTTTGTTCAGATTACAGAGTAGTCAAAACTAACATTTGTAACATTTAACAAAGTTCTTTCCCATGTTATCATAGTCGTTTGATCTGCCTTCATTTAACATCTGAGGAAACCGAGGCTCAGAGCGGTTAAGTGACTTGTCTAAATTCACACAACTAGTAATGGTGGGATCAGTATTCAATCTCTAATTTTTGACTCTATAACCTTAATTCTTTCATAATTCCAAGATGGAATTATGAACTTGGAATTCAGAATATAGCTCTGGAATATAGAAAAATGCTTAGAATGATAAAGAAAAAGGACAAATATGTAGAAGGAAGCTAAAAAGAAACTGTTATGAGAAACAGATACAAAGAACAAGTACAGAAAATCAGGCGGAGTATAGAAAATAGAGTGAAAGCGACAGCAAGAAACCCCAGTGGTACTTGTATATCAGGCCATCTAGTCTCAGAATAGAACAGAGAGAAAGTACACTGGGGAATGACCCTCATTCTCTTCTGAAGACAGTCATGATGTGGCCCTTGTGGACAACTCATGTGACAAAGCGTAGGGATTCAGGTGCATTTCATATTTCCTGTCCCTAGGGAAATGTTTTCTTTCGTTATCGTGGGTGAATTCTGTACCAGACCTGTATCACCTCACATCTAATCTATAATGCAAACTTGCTGGTTCTTTTTTATTTTGTATAAACTAATCATTAGTCTTTTTAATAACCACCTCTATAGTAATAAAATAATATGTGCTTGTTATAAAATACTAAAAGCAGGGCAGACATTCCTCTCCATACTGAGTTCCATTCTCCAGAGGAAGCTCATGTGAATGATTTGGTATGTCTCATAGCAGACGATATTCTATTCATCTACAAACACATATGTGTATTTCTCTTCATATGCAAATTCAGACACTCTCTGGATTTTGGTGTGTCACCAGGGCTTAATTTTCCAAGGGATATGATTATATATAATCCATTTTCTTCATTTTGCAGGGTTCATCTTATACCACCCTTAACCCGTGGGGACACTTGAGTATAGAAGGGCCAGCCTGTGCAGCCATGTCGTGTTGGCTACAGGACTAGAGGACACAGACTTTCATAAACTACCACTTGTATTCCAAATGTTCCCTCTCCACCTAGTGATAGGAACTTAAGGTCTATCTCCAGCTCTTTAGACCTTTTGGAGATCACCAAAGCTGCCCTCCTTTTTAGTCATTCCAAATTGTCTACTTAGAAAATTTTAGTATTTTTTAGCTATTTAAAATATTCTTTTCTTGCCCAGAAGCATCTATTCCCACGGTGGGGTTTGATTTCATACTCCACAGCACATTCTCCGCAAAACCTCACTCTCTAACAACAAATGTAGGCTTTCAGGAGAGCCGACACAAGGTCCCTATACTCCAGGCCCAGTGTTTTTTGAAGTCTTGCTTTAGGTTATCTAATTTTCGTAAATGAGCAAATGTCAATGACTTCTTATGGTAACTGCAATACAATGCTGCTTATTTTCTCTTCTGTAAAAACTTCTTAATCTCAATTTCCTCATCTTTAAAATGAGGTTAACATGTACCTTATGGCAAGGTATTGATGTTAAAGGAAATACTGTGTGGAAATCCTGAGGTATTTTCTATCTAGTGGTATTCATAGTATTTTATTCTCCCCTCATATTCTTTTCTCTTTTTTCTTTTCATTTTCTATATTTTAGTTGAATACACATAATAGACAAATAAATGTGTAGAGCCCCATGCGTTTGAGAGTAGGAGGAGTTAGTTTATTTTGGAATCTAAATATATAAAGTTTAAGTAAAATTAACTTTTTATTCAGTGCTTATTTATATAGATTCTTCAAGAAGTTTTGACTAAATCTTTTTCCTACCATCTCCTGGTCAGGACCTATAATGATTACAACTGTACCTTTAAGATGTTTTCCCCTGTAAAACAATCTTTAATAGTATAATTTTTACCTAGAAAAAAAATTTTTTTTGATAGTTTCTTAAGGTAGTTCACATATATTATGCACTTAGTTTTTTTTTGTAACAACAACAACAACGATAATAACTGAATTTGATAATAACGTTTTATATTGCTTTCTCACATATTATCTCATTTTAGCTTGCATTAAACCTCACCAGCCTTATTTTTTTCCTATTCTCTTACATGTAACCTCTTTTCTGAACTTGCCCCACCATCAAACCTTTGTTTATTTTGTCCACATACCTTGAAGGCTGTCCACTTTGCCTCTCAAAATCCTCTAGGAACCATCTCATTTGTCAATCCTAATCCCTAATTCCTCTGACCTAATCTCTTTGACTAAATATAATCTCTTCTTCTTTCACCAAGCACTTTGTATTATTCTGATGACACTTCATCATTAGTTTTATAGTTAGGTGCTTACTTTACCCACAGTACCAAAATTCAAGTTCCATGAGATCATCTAACTAATAACTAATAACATCATCATCACCATCAATAGTAAGTTACTGAGTACTTGTTATAAGTTGGGCTCAGTGCCAGGAACTTTATATATCCAGCAGATCTCCAAAACTAGTATCATTCAGAAAGTCATTGGTCCAATGCATTGGACCATGCTTGCTAATCAAGAATGGCCAACCTGGAACTGGTAATATTCCATGATTACTTTCATGTTTAACTTACCCTGGTTTTCTATCTACAAGGATATGGAACTGGGCTTTAATTTGATCTCCTCTGGGCTTTTCTCTGTCCTTTGATGTTCTAGCCTATAAACCTATAATGATCCTTGGAATAATTTGAGGGCTTAAGTGAGCTTATCCAAGCTGAGCTTTTAGTCTAGAGAAGTTCCAGATGTTTGTTCTCGCACTCGCTCTCGCTCTCACTCTCTCCTCTCTTTCATTATACTCTTTTGACATTCTTGTTAAGAAGAGTCTGTTCTTGTAATCAGAAAGATGGGATTTATTTTCTTTTAGGTTCATATACTTCCCAGAACTTCTCAGATTGTATTGAAATTTTTTTAAAAAAAGAATTCTATATACTCAAGCAATAATTTGGAGATATATAACCTGTGTCAATACTTTCATGTATAGTATTATTAATCACTTCATCAAACCTCTAAATTCTTTCAGAACAAAAAATACTATTTTTTATTTAAAATATATACATTTTCACACAGGGATTGTTTAATTTTGTCATAATATTAGACTGCATTTACCCTTAGAATTGCTTTTGATGCCTAGGCATCATGATTTATATATTCAGTATCTCTATCTTATAGTTCTTTTTTATTGTATTTAGGAGAAAACACGTATTAAGGAGAAATTTGTTTCTAGGTATAATTTGCAATAAGGAAATGAGTAACTTTGGTGAAGAATATTCACTAAATGCAGGTACTTCAGAAATTTGAAAGTTTGTAAATTTCAACGAACACTTACTGGAGGCCTGTTTAGTGCTAATAAGCACATAGTTTTTTGAAGAAGTTATATAGTAAGGCTTGGTTTCACAGAACAAGTTATGTATTTGGTGTTAGTAGAGGCTTTGGTATTTAATCATCTTCAGAGTATTTGGAGTTTTTAAAAGCTCTTTTGGCAGTAGCATATATGAAAGGTAGATAAAGGAAAATAACTATTGCTGTTTCTAGAAAATTGGGTACCTCTGACAAACAGCTACCTCTCTTTCCTTACATTTTTTGTGTTCTTTCTCTAATTTCATATAGTTGGATGATCTTGCCCTATTTCAGTGTTTTTTTTTTTTTTCCCATGGACATCTTTACATCTCCATCCCCTAATGATCTTGACAACCTCCTGAAACTTGGGGGTGGGGGTGTTGAATTGAGCATTTGCTTTTGTATTTACTATCTACCACAGACTCCTCAGTAGAAACCATATCTTACTCCTTTTGTATACTATAGAGTAGTGTATACAGGACAGTTGTAGGAACTGAATATTTGAGCATATTTTTGTTGTTGTTTGCTTTTACTAGAAGACAGGATAGAGGAATGATTATAACATGAACTTTGGTGTCAGATAAAATTTAGATTTGAATCCTGCCTTTGGGTAAGTTGCTTAACCTCTTAGACTTCTTTAAAATGTTGGTAATACTACCTGCTTTACCTTGTTAAATTTGTAAAGTATGAAATACAGTGGTACCATATGCCAAGTCTCAAGGAAAGGTTTGTTGTTATTGGTCTTTTGACCAGTTGGTATGCTTTTTCAAGGGCAGAGACCATCTGTATTACCCTGTGCTCACCAGCGCCTTGCCATACTATAAGGGAAGGCTACCAGATTCTCCATCTAGTCCTCTCTCATGTTTGCAGCTGAGAGGTGGGCAGAGAACAGACATGTGGTTCTAGTTTTTTCAGGTGGTGTTGGGATAATGGCAGCTTACTTCCATGTTTGTACACTACCATTCAAGTTAAGCTGACTGACCTCATTAGTGAAGGTGCAGGCAGGAACACCCTGGGAAATAGTAACTCCAGCCATGAGCTCTACCCATGGATATATGCCTTGTGCCATTCTTGGAGCCTCCGCGTTCATATATGTCTTGCTTAACTGGGTGCAGAGCATTTTTCACTGGAAGCATTATTCAAAGATGATTAACATCCAGTGAACATCCACTGAGATTCTATCCTTCTCTTCCTTCTTCCCTTAGCATTTATTAAGTGAATCTTCTGTGTCAGGTAGTGGGAATACCATGATGGATAAGAAATACTCAGAAACAGTGGATGGGAGGGCAAAGTGGAAAATGAGATAAGAACAGTAGAGGAATGAATGTTGTGTGAACACAAAGGAGGAAATGGAGGAGCCAGGACATATGAGTTCTAGTACTATGGGGCTTGCAAAGAATCCAAAAGATGACATGCTAACACTTTGTTCATTTTAGTTAGCAATATATTATGAAATGTTAATCTAAGAAAGAAGCAGAAATAATAAGGTGTTAGAGATAGTACTGGATGGTTTCTCAAGGTGCCTCTCGGTCTTGTAAATCAGTACAATATGAGGCTCTGGTACTCAGTTTTAAGAATTTATTTATGCAAAATCCTAAAAGAAATTTAATCTGGAAGTGAAAATATTAGTAATGTTAAATTTTTTCTTTTGGAACAGATAATGTAGAAAGATGAAAATGTGTCTAGAATGGAAATCTTATCTGGCTGTCTTCCTTTGTAGGAAGATGACTATTCTTGTGAGTCAAGCAAAGAGAAGAGGGAAATGAAGAAAAAAGTGTCTTCTGCGGGAGTTTTTGTGAGAAGGTACTAATCACTGAAATAATTCTAAATAAACTTGCTTGATTTTTCTTTTTTCTTTTAAAAATTGATGAAAATGTTTATTAAACTCCTCTCAATATTACTCTGATATGCTATTACTCCAATTCTGAAATACATTACATAATATCAAAGAGATCATTAAAACTATAGGGATTCAATTATACTTACTCCCTCTCCCAATATACTCTTTTATGTATTTATGTTGGCAAATCAAGATTCTATACTTATGAATATTAATTTTGAAAATATTCACATAAGCTTTAAAATATAATATAGTACAGTCTAATAATAAAAAGAAATCCAGTTCTAGATATTAAAAATTATTCTAAATATTAAAAATTATTAAAAATTCTCTTCTGGCTTCATAATAAAATTGTATGTTTCTTTACTTTCTAGACTTTGCTACTAGTGTAGATATGTTTTCTTTTTCTTAATTTTTCAAAAAACTTTACTTTTAAAAAGCATCTGGACTTGGGAGAAAATGGAACATAAGACCAGTAAGTTTTAGAAAAGGACAACTTTACAGCAACAACGAAATATCTCACTGAGGAAAGTTTTACAAAAAATGAAAGTCATTGCTTGTAAAAGGAAAAAAATTAATGTGTGCTTGTTAAGAATACCCATTTAGATAATCTGCTATAGAATTCAACCATTGTTCTGTCTCGCAAGCTCTATAAGAAAAGAATATAGAGATGAGGCAGATTGGACAGTATAAAAAGCAGATGGTTTTATTATTTTTTCTTCCCTTTTTTCCCCCTTGACTTTGTTGACCGAAAAACAACCATGGCATTTCATTTTAGTTCTAACTTCAGTTCCCTCGCTTTTCCTATTCCAACTCCCTTCTCCTTGACCTAGCAAAGATTTGTCACTCTCTTAGGGCAATTGTCTGGATCATCCTTCCCTCTGAAGAGCTGATTGCCAGCTTTGGGCTTCACCGGCAGAGGCCTTCTTGCCGTATACCAGATTGCCCACCATCTAGGCCCTGGCACATACCTTACATGGATGCTAAACGCCATTTGACACAGTATCATCAGAACCAGTTTGCCCTGATATGAATGAATGTGATTGCTAAGACCAGTACAGGCTGGTTAAGGATCTGTAAGGAAGTGTTAAAATCCTTTTGATAATATTTCTAGTTATTATTGTTAGTTTCTCTTTGGTTTCCAATAGACTTTCAATCTGTAGTAATAATATTTGTCAACATTTATTGGGCATTTACTATGTGTGAGATCTGTGCCAAGTCCTTTACAGATATTCTCTCAATTCTCACAACAGCTATATGTGATAGATACATTTTATACATAGAGATTAAATAATTTGTCCGGAATCACATAGCAATGTGGAGCCAAGATTCTGATCTTAATAGAGAAAGTTCAGAGTCTGTATTCTTAACCATGACTGGAATTCACAAATATATTTCCCTCACCTTCTGGGACATATCGCCTTACTTTTTCCTTCTAGTTTGGTGACCCAAAAGTTAATCCCAACCCTGGAAAAAGTCTATTATACTTGCTCTGGTTTTCCCATGTCTCTAGTCTCTCTCTGTACCAGTGAGGTAGGAAATATCAAAAAACTGTTGTAATAGAAGTATGTACCCTTCTGGCAGTGGTTCTCCGGTTGTTCCCCAATATCTGTTCTCCCCTTTTTCTATATTATTAGGACTTATGGGGGCTTGCGGCTGCTCAGGATAAGGACTTACTTTCCAGCCTCCTTTGCATCTAAGATATCAAGTTGTGGGCAATAGACTGAGCAAAAATGACATGTAACCTCAGGGTCATGCCCCTAAAGAGAAAGGATTTGCCCACCTCTTGCCCATTTCTTCTTCTGGAATGTGGATGTGTTATTGGATCTTGAGTATTGGACCAAGGTCCAGTGAACGAGGGCAACACCAGAGATGGTAGAGCAATAACATAAGTGGGAGCCTAGTTCTTGATGCATAGAGCTGAAATATTAACCCTGATATGCTTACACTTCGATTGTAGGTCAGAGAAAAATAAACCTCTATATTTTTTAAGCCACTATTATTTTGCATTTTATTATAGCAGCTAAATCTACATTGTAATGCAACCCTCAAATTATGTGTATTTAACTATAAATCATATGTATTATGTATGTATGTAATATATATTATAAATCATAAATTATTTAATTATAAATCATATATATATATATACACGTGTGTGTATGTGTGTGTGTATGTGTGTGTGTGTATAATCGTCATGTTATATAGGGTGTTTGCCAGCACTAACAACCATTCTGATTTTTCAGGACACCAACTGGGTGTTCAGCAATTCAGTTCTGATGCTAAGTACCCAGAGTTAGTGTCAGATGCCACAGGTTAAGGGCTCAGTCTCACAAAAGTGCTCCAACTTTAGACACCATTTATAAGTCCCAGGTTGTCACTGATACTTCTGATTGGCTGTACATTTGGGGGTTCCTGTAACACCCTCTTCAGGTCCAGAACTCAGGAAAGTACTTTACTTACTATTACCAGTTTATTAAAAAGGGTATATCTCAGGAACAGTTAAATGGAAGAGATGCATAAGGCCAGGTATGGACTGAGAGGTAGGTGTGTGCAGCTTCAGTGCCCTCTCTGCGTGCGTCACCCTCCCAGCACCTCGATGTGTTCACTGGTTTGGCCATTGGTGATTGAACTCAGCTTCCAGCTCCTCTCCTTTTCTTTCTGCTCCCTGGAGGCTGAGGTAGGGGCTAGGGGAGACTGAAAGTTTCAACTCTCTAATCACGTTTTATTCTTTCTGGCAACCAGTGCACATTCTGAAGCTATGTAGGGAATCCCAGCCACCAGTCATCTCAGCATAGACACTCTTGTCACTTGGGAGATTTCAAGGATTTTATGAGCTGTGTGCCAGGAAAACAAAAGCTTGCTATCACCTCTATCACTCAGGAAATTACAAGGGTTTTAGGAGCTCTGAGCCAGGAACTGAAGACAGATCAAATTTATATTTATTGTGTCACATTATATTAATGAAAAAAACAGAAGTGAAAAAGGTGTTTTATGAAGAGACGTAAGTAGAAATTCTAGTATTTTCCCCCATGCCTCAGTAGATTGTTTATTCAGCTCTTGTGACAGAAGACTCAATTTGAGATTACTAGGGTATTAATATGAGATTTGGAGTTAAAGTCTGTGTCACTTATCTGCTGTGTGACCTTGACACGTTACTTAACTTTGATTAGCTTATTTCTTCAGCTGTAAAATGAGGATAATACCACTTGCCTAAGAACTGCTGTGAAAAATAGGTGAGTAGATACATATTTTTTTTAGCATATTCACTGTTGTAGTCAATAGTAGCTATCCTACAAAATAACAATCACTAATTTCTGCCTTGATGATCCATAACCTTTTTCACTGCCTCATTTTTTTTTTATTAAAATATATTGAAATCTTTAAAATATTTAAAACTTTAAAACTTAAGATGTTACATATTTAAATTCTTAAAGATCGACAAAATGGGCATTATAAGCTTTGAATTGTTTTTCAAATATGTTGAAGGGTTTTTACTGACTCTTGACTAGTCCTTACATAATCTTCCCAAGTAGTGTGAATGGGCAAGTTAAAATCTAGTCTATGGCTATAGACAAGGTGAAGCTAACTAATCCTCTTAGAGACTTAACACCAACAGAAAAATCCCCCAAAAGTCTAGTGTTCTTAGAAACTATAAATGCAACATTCTCAGCACACTCATAATAAAATATTTAAAATATTAAAAAGTTTGGATGAAGGTCAGCTGAGGTCTGTTCATATCATATATTCCCCAGGAGTTTATCAAGTACCTTATATATACTTAGAGGCCTTCTGAGAATGCAATATTTCAGTATAGGAAACAGACGTACACAACAATAGCTATTTCATAATGAGTGCAAGTGCTGGAAAAGTTTTGAGGTATATGGGAACACAATCCCCTCATCTTTCTTCATTTGGATATTTCTATTCTCTAAACAAAAATCTATCTAAACTCCAGAACACCAAAATGAAATTTCCATGGAAAAGATACAGGATCTAGAAGTAATGGGAATAGGGTATGGTTTATATGTTCATTATTGGATGCAAGCACTTCACTTGCTAAATCCCTGAAGAGTGAACAGATCTATTTCATTAGTGGCTGTGAACTGGAAACGTGCATATAAGTTGAGGTTTGAGGAGATCCAATAAATGGCACCACTCCTTCCTATCTGGGTTGTGAACCTAATTGAGATAAAGAACAAATGAATCGATATATAAAGTGCTAAATAGTACCTTTGGTTTACTGATAAAACTGATATTGGAGAATATGATTTATATCTTTAGTCCAGTAAGTTTCCTGTCACTAAACTCCAGAATTGGACACTTATTAATCCTGCCCAAGCATCACTGTACCAGGCAGGCTTCCCCTTGCAGGGGCTGAACCTGATCCCACAGGAGCAGAACAGAATGAGTGCTCTCTATATGCTTTCAATATTTTAGCGTATTTTAAATTTAAACCAATTTACTTGTTTACTGTCTGTCTTCTCCACTAAGTTCTATGAGAATGAAACCATGTTCACCTTTGTGCACATGGGGACCAGCCATGTTGTCTGGCACTTAGCAAGCATACATTGTAGTTTATTAAAATGGAACCTAGTAATCCTTATTTATTGATCCAATAAAAATTTATCTACAATGTGCTGAGAATTTTCTTAGGCAAGAGGATTGAGGTAGAAATTAATCAAAATGTATCAGGATGTTAAAATATGAAGAGTTATGTTTTGAAAACAACCCAGCAGTTGTATCTTTGAAGAAAATTTAGTTAGAAAGCCTCTTATTCTCTCACTGGACCATATAGGCCAGTCTTTGACTGCTCTATTCTTCTAAACAAATAATGGGGCTATTTTTAATATATTGAATAAATTGTGGATTATCAAACTTTTAAAACTATTGCCAAAGCATTATTAAATCTTTTGCAATGTTAAGCACTTCCTGGCCTTGGCTCCTTATCTGGATAAAACTGAAGGTCTGAGTTGAAAACATTTTGTACTTTCCTTGAAATTACATGTATACTTTTAATAGATACTATTATATAAAGAAAAAATGTAGTAGACCCCATAACAATAAAAGTATGAATTTTCCCATGGTCTTCTTGAGAGTAGGGAATATATATCAATATACATTTACTGAATTTAAGTGTCAAAAAAAAAAACCCAAAGCAATCTCCAGCTATATGGTAACTCACTTTTAAAATCGAAACAACTTTGTTACATTTTATTTCATATGAAAAGGTAATTGTGCAATAGTTATCAGGGAAGTTGAATACAATAACAAAGTATATAGGTAGCAGATACCAAGGAACTTTTATATGATTTACACAGTTGTTCAAGCAAGCAGAAGAAAACTCTAGTTCAGCTTTCAAAAGGTTAAAGACAAAAGTCCCTTCTATATCAAACTAATCAAGTTTTGATGGCAGCTTTTCAACATAATAAAAACACATAAAAAAGACAAAATACATCTCATTGTAAAACATTTCTTTTTAATCCATATGTACTTGGAATAATCTTGTTGTATTAAAGTTTTGCTGCAACTTTCAATGCTCAAAGCAAATTTATCCTGGTGCAGTGTTCTAAGAAGTCAATAGCAGCAGCAGTAGGAGCATAATGTAGTCATTTCACTGCTATTTCCAGAGTCTATAAAATCCCAATGCTATTGCCAGGCAAGTAAACACCGAGGCTGTGAAAAGAAGAAACCATGTTACAGGTCATGTATTTGTGATTATTTTGCAGAGACAAACACGATGATGTTACCTTCAATTTAAATGAAGAGCAAAAAAACAGGCAATCCAACCAATTTTCTATTTTAGGTTTTTCATTCCCTAGAAAATTAAGCTAAAGATAAAGAATATCCTTTAGGGCAGGATTAATACCAATTCTTCTTAAAAGCTTCCTATATTTTAAATCAGATAAGGATAACGATAATTTAAAATGTAGGTCATATGTCAGTTAGAATATAAACAATCTTTAAAATCATTATTAACATTAGCATTATTAACTGACTAAACAATTATGAACTCTAATTTCAGATATTATGTGAAAAACTTATCTACATTAAAAAATTATGCAGCTAAGCTCGTAAAATAGACATAATCCATGAGAAAATTTTAATTGACTTTTTTAATACATTTCAATATAATTTTTCTTATAATTACTAAAATTTATAAATAAAAAAATGAAATTTTAATGAAAACTTTTAAAAAAAATATCATTGAGTTAGGAGAAAAGATAGAACAAGCATCAGGCTTCCTTAACAGTTAATATGCCACCTGCTCTTTGTTACATCAGTCTGGACAGAAAACCTTCCTGTTCTCATTAGGAGGCTCAATCTGGGTGATGCTTTTAGGGACTCCCTGGTTTCTAGTTTATTTAAACAGTCATGGCTTTTAAAATAGAGAATCTGAGACAACAGGCAAACTTCTTTGACCAAAGACATAAGAAACAGCCTTTCAGAGTAAAGCTATCCTAATTTTAATGTATACATTTAATTACACATTATCTCATTTTATCCCACTACTTACTGAAACTTAGTTTATGACATTACTTCCTTAATTTTAACTAGGTCTAAGACACATTAAGGAAGCAGGACATTTGAGGATAAAGAATACTGAGTTTCTTGACTTGGTCAACTATATATTCTCCCATATGGTCAAGTCACTGTTGACCATGTTCCAGGCTGTGTGCTGGGCAATTATGTACATTACCTTAACCATAATTAAAACCCTATGAGGTTGGTGATATTATTCCCATTGTATAGATGAGAAACAAGCCCAAATTTATGTACCTGACTCCAAAGTTGTTTAAAAAAAAACAAAAAACCATTGTCATCCTTATTTATCCCTTGTCACCTGAAGGACTCGATCTGTCAATTTTTTTTTGAGCCACTAAGTGCTGTCTAGGTGGTTATATTCTTTGCTAACCCAAATAGCTGATAAATTGTCTTAGACTACTAAATAAATGAGTACTTTATTGTGAGGAAGAGGTATTTCATTCTTTTATTAGAATACACAACACAATGGTTACTGTATTTGTTTATTTTATTTCTGCTGTCACCTGTTACTTCTCATTGCTGTCATTGTGCCACCCCAAACTGCTTTCAAATTTATCTTCTATGGCCTGTCTAGAACACTTCCTATATATTTAAATTGCTCAAGTGAGCACATGCCCGATACATCTTAAGTACTCTGTTAGACTGTATTATTATTTATCAGCCCAGAACAGAATCAGTCACAATAACTGTATAATTAAATGTAAACTGCCATTATCTTACAGCTCTTGCCTCCTTGGCAACAACGACTGGGTCAAAGGGTGGTATCTAACCCAAGATGGGCCATTCAGATCTCTTTCCTGGGATTTTCTGAATTGGAACTAAGGAATGGGGTAATTTTTCTTGGTTGGTAAAACTGGAATAATGAGTCTGAAAGCTACTGGTGGCCGTGTTTCTAATTCAAGGAGGAAGCTGGTATAAGAAAATGAGGCAGATATTCAGAGACAGGATACAGAGTAAGCTGTGATTCCAGTTAACCCAGGGGTCAAGCTATACTTCTACCCTTCCATAATTCAATTCATAGGCCAATAAATTCCCCTTTATGCCTAATTTAGTTCAGTTGGAAGCATGATAACTTGAAACAGAGCCTTGACTGATACATGCTAGGAAACCAAATCACCGAAATGATTAAGATCTGTAGTTTCATAAGGATTTCTTCTCTAAGGGAAATGCAAGATCTTTAAAGCTAGGGCTTTATTAATATTTTTTTTCCTGTGCTCATGATTGAATTCAGTATGTGAACCTCAGATAAGTGGAGAATTACTGTCTTATTGGCAGTATATCAGATATTATAGGACCCAAGGATCCACTCATGACATTAACTTCCTACCTGCTGAGAGTGTGGGATTCAGATTTCCTAAAAGGCTACCAGTAACTAGAGCAGTAATCATATATTTGGAGGATAAGAAAGGAGAAAGAAAATGCCTTTAGAACTGTTTGTTGCAAATTCTCAATGAAAAAAAGAAAAGGAAGATAACTTTGGAAAGGTATTTTTCTAAACAATGACTTGCTAATTTCTTTTTCCACTGCCATTAAGTCTATTAGAGGCAGACTTGGACATATCCACTACTGAATGAAAGCTTTCTGAAGACCATCACCATCTTCAAACTAAGGATAAAAAAAGCTTTTTATTTTTAATTAAGATATTGATTCTTTAGGTAAATATTGTAGAGGAAGCTGAGTGGAATTTAAAGCTCTCCCTAACCTGGGCTGCTATTCTGAAAGTGAGAACAAACACTCCAGACTACGCTGTTTGGAAATTTCCTCTGAGCATTATCACTAATTTCCAGTTCCAGAGACTTTGCTAGAATAGACGTTTTTCAAAACTTTTTTTTAACCTTAGGACCCTTTCTTCAAATGAATCTTTGGCAGAAGTCCAACATTTTGAAAATAAGCTGAGCCATTAAGTATAAACGATAAAGGGCGTGTGCAATGCTGAGGGCTGGGGCTCTATCTTGACTCCTACTGCCATCTCAACATAATTAGTGGCTGCCCCTAACCACTGATGGTATAAACTGGCAATTTCATTTTGGACAATTCAATAATATGACAAATTTTAAATGTGCTTATCTTTTTGACCCAAAAGTTTAGATGTGCTTAGCAATTTATTATACTAGCATGAGGGCACAAAGAGGTAAGTAGGTAGGTGTGTGAGTGTGTATGTGTGTGTTTACTCAAACACAAACATATATATGGCCATTCAGTGCAATATAGTTTTAATAATGAAAAACTGGAAGCAGAATGTCTGTCAGAGGTTTAAATAAACAAATGATGGCAATTTCATGCAATGGAATGCTATGCTTCCTAATAAAAGATGTCTATTGATGTGGATATTCAAGATGGTTAAATTTTTAAAAATTATAGTCTGTATAATATCTATTTAAAAAATCTGTAATGTTTATATAAAGAAGAAAAAGCCTAGGAAGATATATGCTACTAATAGTAAATATCGATGGGGAAGAAGTGGAAGACTTTCACTTTTACTATATTATTTTTGAATTACATGAACAATTTTTAATGAAAATAGACTATTTATAAAAAAGAAAAAAGTACTACTTGACTAGGGCATTTTTTCTACCCTCTTGGGTGGTCTGTAATTGGGTCAGGTCACTTGGTACTCAGGAGCTCAGTATAGGATAAATAATGTTTGGGTGATATCTGTGCTCGGTCAGTTGGATTCAAGGTAGCAAGCAATTTCCCCCACTTTTGCTTGCTATGATTTCTAATGGCCTATATCTATTTTAGTTATCTTTCCCTGTAGGTCCACTCAAGTTCTTATGGAAAGCACAGCTATAAAAATACTATTTTTATTTTCTTCATTGTGGAATATCCAGTTATCTTTGCATCATTTTGTACTTGTATTTATTTCTTTAATATCCATACACTTTTCCTATTAGTAAGTTGCAGAGCTGCCTGTTAAACTTATAAAGTTGTTGCTTTTCAAACTTAGATTCTTCATGCACTGCAGAGGACCAAGCAATAAAGGGGAACCTGTTCTAGCACCTCCATTTTTCTTCTGTGTTGGCCATAGTTACTTTGGGAGGTATGAGCTGACAGATCTGAAAATCAAATGACAGTAATTCCTTTCACTGACAAACACAGCCTTACCTGCAAGATAACGAATTGTCTCAAGTTTGTTAGATTCCATTAGTGTTTTTAAAGAAGCAATTTCAGTGTCAATTTTATTACTGGTCTCTGAAATAGTACTTTTGGTTTTGGCATCCTATAGTAAAAAGGATAAATAAGACAGTTATTTTGTTCTTATGTATTATGGACAAAATATTTACATTAGAAACCTTTATACTTATGGGCAAATTATGTATTACAAAAAACTGGGGAAACACAGTAAAAACACTTTGATATATATTTAAAAAAACATTATGTGAGCATTACAAACCAACAAAAACATTCCTTCTTTTTTGATATTTGGAGGTCATTTCTTAGGATTATCACATTTTGGGCAATTTCTAGTAAAAGTCTTATAGTAAGATATTTGAGACCTAACTATATAAGAGGTTAAACCAAGAAGAAAAAATTTTAGTCACAGAACTATCACTTTATGTATATAAAGTCCTTAAGATATAAGAGTTAAAAGTTTATATTTTGCAAAAATAAAAAAAAACCAAACAAACCTGATTTATAATATGAACTGGCATCAATATTAAACGGCAGAAAAGCTTGTTGGGTAACAATGAATACTATGTGTATAGGAGCTAAGAGGAAGAGAGAAAGAAGATGGTACTCAGAAATTAGCTGTGAGAATTTTTTTATTTTCTTAGCTCCTTTATATTGCCAAAAAAGTAAGAGATTAATGAGAAAGACAAATGGGACCTTCCCTTCTATTTAATTATTAGAAGAAGTGCTGTCTCTTTTGTTAGAATGTAGACAAAACGGCTTTTAACTTTTAAGGACTAGGCTGAGCCAGAAAGGTGGGTTTTACTCAAGCTATAAAGATTAATGATTACAATTTAGGATTATTGAGCTGACCAGTAGTTATAAGTATAGGGTTTAAAATCCAGGTTCATATCCCAGCTCTAACACATATTAGCTGTGTGACCGTAAACTCCCTGTGCTTCATATTTTAAATTGGTAAAATGGGAATAAGACTGCGGGCCTCACAGAGGCTGACAGGATTAATTAATAGAAGTAAAAGCAAGTAAAACAGTACAGGCTGGTTAAGGATCTGACACATAATAAGCTCTCAAATATTTACTATCTTTTAAAATTTAAATATAATTATTTAATTGAATCTAGGCACTCATTTAAATACTAATTGTAACTCCTTATTTTTTAAAAACTAGTTCTTCTTAATATAAAAATAATTTAGTTAAAAAGAAAGTATACTACCTGGAAAGCTTCATTCTGACTCATAGGTCACAACTGAGGTGCTACCATCCATGTCGTGGCAGCTTTCCGCACAGTACTGGTTAACTATAATAGCTATGAGGAAATAAGGAATCCTATAGGTCTAGTTCTTTAAAGTCCAAACTTGTAAAATGATACACATAAAAGCAGTTATACAAAGCAAGAGAGCTGTGCAAAAGAGAAATTTTTACATACCAGCTTACCTTTTTGGTAAATTCTGTGCTTGCTTCCATAAGTTTCTTTTCTTGATCTGTAAACTAAAGGATATGATGCATCAGGAGCTTAACAAAAAAAGACTAAATGTAATCAAAAAGGAATAAATAATCATTTAAAAGAACATTACCATATCTGTTACTCTGCTCCTTTCTAGGTTGATGTCCAGTTTATTATCTGCTCTGATTCGACTGGTTTCATTCTTTAAAGGAAATAAAAATATTTAAAAAGTGATCTTGTAATAAATATTTGTTCTGAAATTAATAAAATATTCTGAAATGGAAAAAAAGTTTCACTTACTATTAGTTGTTGCTTAACATGTTCTAATTCAGTTTTCATTTTCTAGGTATAAGAAAGATCACACATAATTGGCATTAAACCAAAGCCCATATTATGATTTATTCATAAAATCTTAAAACCCTGGATTAGCAAAAACTGGACAATGTATGGATTTCTAATACAGAATTTGATTAAAAATAAAGACAAAAAAAGAATAGTTCATCACATTCAGAAAACAATTCTTATGAACCAAACATTAGAAAATGTATGTTTTAGTATTCTACCTTTTTAAATGATTGATATTCTAAATTTAAAAATATTTAAGCTAGTGGATAATGAAATTCTGAATGAATTACAAAAATACATTTTTCTCTTAAGTGATAAAAGTAATTAGTGCAGAATTAAATAAAATGGAAAATGCCACATTACTTTCAGCTCAGAACATTATACTATGAGCTATGCTACAATTTTATAAAATATATAGAGCTCGGAGATTTTCCTTTTTATGTAACTTTTATACATATAAGATACAATTCTTATTTAGTATGCAAGAAACTGCTTTATACATAGAAACATTAGGTATAGTTAAACATAGTATATTTTTATCTAAAAACTTGTACATAACTATTTAATAACCACAGAAAATTATCATTTGGTCTATTATTCACCAAGTAGGCTACTTATAAAATCAGTTATTTTATTAGTAATAAATTGAAACTTGTATATCACCTCATTCTCTGCTCTCAGATTTGCAAATTCACTTTTCTCTAGGATGACCATGTCTTTCCTGATGGAATCCAAATGAGCCATTAGCTGTTGTACTGTTATTTCCTAGAAAACAAAATAATATAACCTAGAGATCTATGGAAGCCATCCCCTTACATGGAATTGTTTTCATGAAACTTAAAAATTTCTTATCATGCTATAAAATATAATGTTGCACAGCTAAGTAAAAAACAGGACAAAAACGTATGAAACCTACATATATGAAATATCAAAATTGAAAGGAACAGGATATTAAAGGAAGAAAGTGTTTCTCAGTGAAGAGAAATAAATGTCTGTTAATGAAAGAATCCCCCCATATGCTTACTTAACACCTAGAAGAGAGAGACAGAGAGACACTGTGTGTGTGTATTTTTTAATGCCTCCATAGAAGGGGCTTTGTTATCTTTTTTATTACTTTAACTTTGAAAGATTTTCTACCATTGGAAAATTCCAGGGTACTGGATAAGACTCAGAAGTCAGGTAGTAAAAACAAAATAGAAGTATGGTTTAGATAACTACTTCCTGTGGGCATAACATAATTAGTGTTAAATTCCTGGTTATCTTTCCTTTGTAAAAGAAAAGGTGGCCCCTGATATATTTATAAGCTTTGCTAGGGAGGGATATTTTTGTAGACATGTTTTAATGCAGCCTTACAAAGAATATATAACTTTTTTACACTAAAATTCTTATAATTAGGTAGCTTGTTGACTCATCATTTATCCTTCTTTACCAAAAGAAAAAGTAAATGACAGTGTAAACTTGAAAAGGATCCTCTATAACAGGGTTTATAAATAAAACAAGTCCAAACAAGAAGAGGATTACTAGTGGAATTCCCATTTTTTGTCACAGTTTGTGGCCAGGAATGTGCTGTTGGGGTTATAGGCCTCCACTGATCGATATGGCCTAGAAAGATTATTTCAAAAACTCACTTGACTTTTAGAAAACAGAAGGTATAACAGTTCCAGACGCATGACCAAGAAATGACTCAGTCTTCAAAGAGTCTGGAATGCACAATCTTCTCCAATAACAACTCTCGGATGGTGCAGTAACATGGAGTAGAGGTTAAAAATGTGAATTCTAGAGTCAGGCTGCCTGAGTTTGAATACAAATGCTGCCATTCACTGTGAGACTTTGGGCAAGTTATTTAACTTCTTTGACATCATTAGTAAAATGGAAATAATAATAGTACCTATACCTTATAGAGTTGTTTTGAGAATTAAATGAGATAGTGCAAGTATTTTTTACTTTGTACAATAGACATCCCTGAGTCTTATACCTTCCTTAACCCTCATCTTTATTATTGGAGATAGGGGTTCATTTTCTTTTATGCAGTTCTGTTTGAAATATTCATGAGAATGAGTTCAGAAGGCATACAGAAGTAGCTCTGTGGGTTGTCACTCCTGTTCACCCAAAATGTCATTTTGAAGGCGTTCTAAGACATTAAATATGTTATCTTTATTTAAATATTTAATAAAATGTTATTAGTGAGACTACATGGAGAATAGTTGAAAATTTAATTACAGATTTCTTGTGGAGTCTGAACTCAAGAATAAGGAGTTATACTGTGATCCTAATAGCCTATTCTTATCTTACTTTCCTTCTTTATGACTCAAAAAGGCTTACAAAACAGCAGTTTTTGAAGGTATCCAGCTTCAAAAACTTTCAGTGGGAATCTATTGAAAGTGCTCATTGTTAACTATTGTGGGAGCCCCCAGAAAATATGAACCAACTTGACTTAATATGGCCCTTCTTGAAGTGATCAAATACAAAGCTTGTTTGATAGCCTTGAGCCTCAGCCCCACCTTTCATGACATCTTTGTGCCTTATTCTGTCCCGGAGGTTGGGTCAGCATGAGGATTAAATTGGCTCAAGGATGGAATGAGATTTTACTTTACACACCAGTAATAAAAAAAAACAAAAGTTAACAGTAATATTCCTACATCCAATCCTACTTTTTTAATGTGTGATTAAATGGTCCTAGCAAGATAAAAATTTCTCAAACCACAGTTTTAATTCACTGATTATATTATAGGTAAATGTAAAAGTCTTCTTTAAGAGTAGATTACTTTATTAAAAATGTTAGTAGCTCCATCAACTTTTGGATAGCTCAGAGGTCTGGGAGAATTAAATGACTGGCTTTTTCTTTAGTGAACTTAGTATGTTATTCTGAATAAGCTAAAATAATGCAAACACAAATTTATAGGTAAGTTAAAACTAAGGGTGGAATGCTTTTAATTCTAAATGTCTAATTGGAGATTATTGTAAAAATCTTTAAAAAGCTTTTGATCCTTCATGACCTTTAATAAAGTTTTACATAAAAGCTTCTAATTTTATTTAAGAAAGAAATCTTAATTTCTCTCTGTTGTGAAATGTTTATCTGAGGAAGGAAGCCTAAATGTGAAACTTAAAAAATATAACCAGAGAAAGAAAACATATTCTTAAACATAGTGAATTAATTCATGATGACAGACTATGAACAATCCACGGTTAAGCTCATTGAGCTAATTCTATCCTTTATATAAAATTGCTTTTCATCCATTGCACCAATGACAATTCTTGCAAATTACTCAACCTCTCTGATCATCTCTTGGTAAATGGCATTATTTGACTTAAAGGATGTGTGTATCCAGTCAAATTAAAGCATCTTAGCCAGGTGATTTATGAAGTCCTTCCCAGCCATATAAATCCCTCCAGCTTTCTAAGTGTGAAAATTAAGCAGAATATACAATATACACATGACTTCAGTAAAATATTTTTATTACATAGAAGGGTTAGCTCTTCTACTGTGGTGGGCTTTCAACAGGAAAAACATTGTTTCACTAACAATCTACCACCATCTTGATTCAAATAATATAATTATCTCACACAATGAAAGATTTAACAAAATTTCATTCTCTGTGTTACCATAACTGTTATGACTGTTCTAACTTCTTAATCTCTCTGGATACTGACTTTATACTAAAGGGTTTTTTTGTTTGTCTGTTTTGGGTTCCTTTAGACAGAACAAAAAGGAAGGTGCGGGGTGTTTGGGTGGTGAGTAGGTACACAGAAATGCAATTATAAAAAAGACTGGCTAATGAAACTGTCAGAAGTGATGGAAATGAAAATCTTACCTGTTGAGTTTGAGTGACCATCTCCTTATAAATAGTATCCAAGCTGACATGTGATAAAGTGCTTAATGCTGATACAATTGTTTCTGCTTGTGCTTTGTCAAATCCTGTGGGCAGCAAACAGGTATTAATCTTTTTGAAAATGTACACATCCTTTTCAAAATAGACAACTGGAATAACTTCCCTTATAAATTGTTTTACTCTTTAAAAAAATGTTTACAATTAAAAATTTGACAGATAATGCTAAATTACTTTCTGAAAGCATTCAATAATTTTAATTCTCACTGATCCATTTCCCCAGTCTACATCAACACTGGATATTACTAGTCTTTATTTTTGAGTGTATAATTGTTATAAAAAATGGTACTGCATTGTTATTTTACTTTGTACTTAAAATTTCCAGTTCTATGTTCAAGCATCTTTACTGGTTATTTATAGTTATTTTTTGTGTGCTGTTTATAGCCTTTGCCCATTTTTCTATAAAATTGGTTAACTGTTTCTTATTCATATGAGCTTTGTATATTAAAGCAATAGGTTCATTGTCATGTGTGTTGCTAACATTTTTAACTTTATGGATATCCTTTGATATATAGATTTAAATATCTGTAGTCACATCTGTCAGTCTTTCATTGCTTTTGAGTTTTACATCTTACTTGCTCTAAAAATCTAAAAATATTATATTCTAGTTATTTTTTTAGTTTTTCCTTTTCAGTTTATTTTTTTTTTACATTTAGTTTTTAATCAATCTGGAATTTATTTTTCAGTAAGGGGATCTAATATATTTTTTCCAATGGCTAGTCAGTTATCATATCTCATTTATTAAATAGATCTTCCTTTCCATAATCTGTAATGCCATTCTTATCACTTGCTAAATCCATATACATGTGTGTTTCTGAATCATATTCTGCTCTATTAATCAACTTTTCTGTTCCTGTGGTATATAATTTAAATTACTATTTTGATATCTGGTAATTTTTTGTGCTCGCTCTTTGTTTTACATAATTGGAATCATTCTATATATGTAATTTTATATAATGATTTTTCACTTAACATATCTTGATCATTTCTCATATCAGTAAATATTCTTTGAACAATACCATTTTTATGAACATAAAAATAGTCCACTCTATGGATAGCACTTGTATTTAAATGGTGACCCTTAACTGTTCCTAATGGTGATATTGTCCTGTCTATAGGTAACTTATTAATTTTCTTTCAAGAGGTACCCATGTTTCTCACCATGAGTTTCCAAGTCCTGAACCAATGCATGGGTATCAAAAGTTAATTTCCTTTGTTCTAAAGGAGTTATGTCCACTCGCCTCACATCATATCCTTCCTCAGCTGTGGTGGTTACGAAGTCTGAAAAGAGAAGACAATGCAATGTTTTTTTCTTGTAGTAACTACTGGAAGCCTTATACTTTAGCTTCTAAAGCATATTTTTCCCCATCTATTTATAACACAGTTCCAGCTCTTAGGAATTCTGTAATATCAAGCAAGATAACCTATTCCTCTGAGTCCTTGAGTTTTTTATCTGAAAAGTCTCTAACATTATTCTGCATAGCAAACATTGTCTTGTTTACTGTTTTGTCTCTCTGAACCAGAATAAAAGCTCCATGAGACCATGACTGTTTTTCATTACTGTATCTTAGATACATAGAATAATGCTTGGCAAATAGTTGGATCACAGTATTTTATTGTTATCAATGAATTTTGATTTTAAATGCTGGAGCATTTACTGTTGTCAACACTAACATCCTAGGAAAGTTTCACATTTTTGAAATAAATGTCCTGTTTTGATAAATTCCCAATTTTTAAGGCACAAGGGATGAGCAAAACCAGACATAATTGATGCTTTCATCGACTTTATAGACTAGCAGGCAGGAGACAGATTTTTTCAAAAAATCTTAAACATAAACACAATTCAAATGATGAGAGTTAAGGGGCCACTTAAAGTTTCTCCAAGAACACTCAGATTCGAGTATTGAGATATTATCATTTACTTACGGAGATATATTTTCCAGTATTATACGGATTTCAAAGTTCATTTCCTAAAAATGTTTAATATTTTCATTTGAATATGTAAACAAAGTACATCTCTAAAAGTTTACAAAGATAAGACTGATACTGGGATGACTTCACAGGGTTCAAAAAATGCTACTTCCTTTTTTTAAAGTTCAGCATATTGTATATGTATGCTAAACACTTAAATATGTAACTAAAGATCATGTGAAGGGCGCTGGCTGCTAAACAGGTGTCTTATAGATGGGAGATCCATAACTGCAGTCTCACTGTGTGAGAAAATTGAAGCAATGAGCAAAATAGCACAAAATACAGTGGGTACTGGTTAGCTCATTTCACCTGGCACTGAAGATTCAAGGTGAGCACAGAATGCTTAGATTAGTACCAAGTGCTGCGTCTGTGGGCAACCTTAAAAAGTTTAAAAATTGGGAGAAAAGAAATTCTGAAAACGTCCTTCAGAACAAAGTAGTATGTCCTCAGGACACAAAGGGTTCCAGCTAGTTCAAAACTTTATTCCAGTGTTCACGTTCTGTTGTTTTTGAATAGCTACGTGATTGCAGACTACTGAAAATTACAGCGAGAACAAAGCGGACCAGACCTTAAATATGCTGCAGTTTGCAAAAACCTGGGCTTGAGGCTCGAACCTAAATAACAGTCTAAATTTGAACAAGGGAAGAAATCGGGACTCCCCAAACTCAGATTACGGGTTGCTCTTGACAGACCTACAAGAGGGAGGGGATTGTCGGCCTCATTTGACAGTAAAAATGAAACAAGGGCTCAAAAAGAAGCCTGGCAGGAAACCCAGGCCTTCAGAGGCTAGCTTTCAGAAGACGAAGGCGGTCCCCCTCGCAGTCCTCGCCCTTCCGAGGGCGACACCCACCATCAGAGTCTCCAGAGCCAGGTGTGGGCTGGGGAGGAGGGCGTGGCACCTTTGTCTCCCGCTCCCGGAGCAGGCACGAGCATCGTTTCCCTAGAGCGCACTCAGGCATAGGTGACACGGGGCCTTTTCTCACCTCTCTGCACGGCGGGCGAGAAACGCCCGCGGGGGGTTAAGACCCGGCGACCCCCGCTGCTTTCAAATCCGAGGAGGCACCAAACCCTGCGACTCCACATAGCTCCAGCTTTCCGGTTGGCGCGCGGAAGCAAAAAGCTTGATGAATTACACTCAGGCTTTCGGGAAAGGTAGTTCTAGCACCGCAAGGATGCTGGGAAATGTAGTTTTCGGTCTGTAGCAAAACACGCCTCCAGTACCTGCTGGACCAGCGATTCCGCAAAACAGGGCCTTTTCACAGACGTACCCACAGTTCACCAGCATGATTCAGAGCCACTTCGCTTCGCCCACCGCCCCTTCCCAACCCGTGCACGCTGTTACCGCCCTAAGAAAGCGGGATCTCGTCTGAGAACCTTCCGGCGCTCGCTTCCTGGCAATGAAGTACAGTTCAACAGCAGAGTCAAACTGTCAGCCAGCAGCCTTTGCGCGACTTGGTCGGTGGGAGACAAAGTCACCTTTAGCCGTACGGCAACCTGGGACCCGAAGTCCTCAGACACTGCGCATTTGGGGTGGGCGGTCACGTAGAAACCTTCTGGGAAATGTAGTCCAGAGAACCCCTCATTCTTGCTACTTCATATCCTACAGCTTCGCCCTCTGGTGCCCAGGAGGACCAATTTTAGTTGGTTAAGTCCCTCTGTTCGGGGAAACTGAACTCCTGTTTCTAAGGTAGACTTGATTTTCATCGCTTATCTCTCCCAGACCTCAGTTATTCCGGACTTTCCTCCACATGCTAAAATGCTGAAAATAACAACACAGTAGTTGTGGGGCTAATACGTTTTTTGTAGATTCTAAAATGATTCACAATCGTTAGTTTTTCGTGGCTTAATTATTCTCACAAGGATGTAAACAGTTACTGCTGGATTTTCCTACTTATTTGTTTTCAAAGTTTTGTGTCATCTCCATAACAAGTACCATTCTAAGCACTGAGGCACATTAAAAGAACAACACTCGATTCCTGCCAGCCAGAGCTTTAACAGATAATTCATGGAGAGAAATTATAAATGGCTATATAAAACTTGAAGAAAAATAGAGGACAATTTAATCTCTCTAGTTAACGAAAAAACGTAAAGATGTACCATTTTTGCTCACTAAAGACTTTTTTTAATGATAATTATCAATACTAGCAAATGCGCAGATAGTTAGGGCCACTCATGCTGCTGGCAGTAGGGTAAGTTAGTACAACATATTTGGAAAGTAATTTAATAATATACATGAAACTCTAAAAGGTGAATAGCCAGAGTTTCTCTTCTAAGAATCTATCCTAAGAAAAAATAATCACGTCTGTAGCTAAGATTTTTAAAATTTATAGCCTTGCTATGTTATTTATAATAATGAAAAATTGGACCTAATCTCAATATTTAAAGTGATTCAGTAACTTGCAGAAGTGTCCCAAAGTGAAATAATATGCAACCATTAAGTATTAAAAAATCCTCAGTGACAGGAAAATTCTTACGTATTTATATATAGTTGGCCCTTGGAACAACTGAAGAGTATGGGTTAGGGGCACTGATTACTGCCTCTTAGAAAAATCTATATATAACTGACTCTTCAGTAGGCCCTTCCCATCCATGGATTCAATCAACTGGGCAGAGAATAGTATTTTCCATTTGTGGCTGGGAATACGCTGTTGAGAATGCAAAAATACTGTTTTCTGTCCAAGGTTGGTTGAATCCCCAGTTGTGAAACCTGCGAATAAAAGGGCTGACTGTATTTATTGTAAAAGTCTATGTGTAAGTGGACCAGTGCAGTTTAAGCTTGTGTTGTTCAAGTGTCAACTGTGTCTCCAATATGATTACAATTCTGTTAAATAGAGGAGCTCACAGCCACTGGAAGATACAGACCAGTAAGTGGGAACACAATATTTTACTTAAATTAAGTAATGATAAAAAAGTATATCTATTTATTTATTAATCCTGGTTATTTTTTATATTACTGTAAAATATCCCAACACAAATATAGTATTGATTAATCATGTGACCAAAGCTCAACCAATCATGTTCTTTTTCTGGAATTGACACTTTGATTCAGGGATTACTAATCATTTTCTAACCTTGGATGTAACTATAGCAAATGAAGTCAGGAGCTGGGACAGCCATATTCTACCAAGAGGGCGCTGAGACCTCCCTAATGCTTCTTAATGTTTCTAAAATCTCCATTGTTGCTATTATTTATATGCTGAAAGTCTTAATTTATAAAACTATTTTCCCATAAATTTGTTAACATTTTCTCATAAGTGTGTTGAGAGGAATGAAGGAGCTAATACATATAAAATTCTTAGCATACTACATGGCACATATAAACACCCATGGAACAGTAGCTATTTTTAGTAATAATCCCTGTTGCTCAATGTTGAGAAATAATTCTCTATGGGTCTCTCATGTTTTTGCATGCCTCACACACACAGGCCCTCTCTGCCTTGTTATGGACTCTTCTTTTAAAGACATTTGTATGAAAAACAGCACTAGGAAATATAGTGTCTCTCTCTGAGTAAAAGGCTTCATGCTTACTGCATACTATAAAAGATTTGGGTTTTCCAACTTCAAGGTTCCTCTCTGTAATGCAATCCACCGCATGCTCAGACACACATCTGGGCCTATCTACATCACCCCCATGACAAGGGAACTGACACAAATAAGCTGATACTCATACTTCTTGCTGTGCCATGAGTAATTACATCTTTTTTCTCTGGCCAAGGAGCCTCATGTCTTCCCATGACATGGTACATCTCATTGCCAGCATCCATGCAACTGTGATAGGCTAACTTATAGCTTGCAAATAGGATAAGATCTCAGACCCTTCACAGTTCTTCTTCTTCTTCTTTTTTTTTTTAAATCAACCCTTCACAGTTCTTGATAATCATTGCTTTACTTTGGACTTAAATTTTTATTTTCATCCTTTCAATTTCAGTCACAGAAGTATCTGAGTGCCAGTTAGGTTTAAGACTAGGTGTGAGGAGTGTAAAGAAACAAATTCAGTCCAACAACTATTTAATTTTCTTCTATAGGCAAAAATCTCTGCTCTCCAAGAAAGTGGAATATAACTAGGAGAATAATGTCCATACAAAGTAATAATAGATTAGTGTCATGTAAATATTACAGAAAATAAATCCTTTGGTTCAGCTGAAAATAATACTTTTTGGTCACGATTATCTATAATAATAGATAAGTTTTAAGCCCCATTTTCAAGAGTTTTTATTAGGTCAAGACTGTAGAGAAGAGATCTAGGAGAGAGGATAGAGTGAGCAAGGATGCTTAGTAATCTCCCTGCTGCTTCTCACTTTGCGGCCTTTGCACATGGGATTCTCTTAACCTGGAGCGCTTTCCCCTCCCTTTTCACCCAGTTAATTCCCTCCTATCCTTTAGATCTCAGCCTTAATGCCACCTCTTTAGGCAGTCCCCCTCTCTCCACATGTAGATTTCATGTTTTTGTTATAGACTCCTATAGTAACCCAACCTTCCCATGTCACTGCACTTCTCATTTGTATCCTCCATGATCATAGAGAACACATCTGTCACTGCTATCTCTAACACCTAGCATAATGCCTGGCCCATAATGAGCCTGTGGTAAATATGTGCTGAACGAATGAATAAATTTTCAAACTATAGTCATAGTTTGATGAGGAGACCTGATAGACTGGGACATAAGAGTTATTTGGAGGATTGGGTGGAATTGGAGGAGAGAAAACTGGAAGAAAAAAAAAGAAGAAGAAGAAGAAGAAAAAAGACTAAGGAATTTGGGTTTCATACAATAGGTTTTCAGGAGACTTTGGAAGTTTTTAAGCCAAAATTGATTAAAGCCAGTTAGAGTGCCTTTCTAGCAAATAACTATTTGCTATTCACTAGTATAGGCTAATGAATTATTTCTCCTCCAAATGTCCCATGAGGTGGCCTGGCCATGAGAAATACTGCCTCTCTCAAAGCAACCTAGTTTATCCATATCTCAGAGGCCAATAGGGTAGCAGAGAAGTAGGTCCTGGTTTTTTCATTGTGAAAAAGGACCACTTTTATTATTATTTTTTAACTTTATGATGCTCCAATTTAAACATATCTTATACTCTTTACCAAGCACACGTATGGAGCCATTGCTTATTTTCCCATATTCAATTGATTCGAGCCATAGAAAACTACCAGTTAATTTTTGGGGGGATAAGCAGTGCCGATCCAAGCTGATAAATTCCAGCTGAAAGCAAACAACACTTGCCAATTTCTTTGGAGGTTTCCAGTTTCATCTCTAGGGATGGCACAATTTCCTTTGACATTTTGAGATGTTAGAACCCTTTCAAGGACCCAAATACTCTTTCCTTTGATGCCCAGAGGTCTGGGGACCCAGGCTGGACATAGTTGCACGAGATGCTCCACCGCTATGATGGTAGCGCTGGTGACTTCAAGGAGAGAGAATGCAGCCTGGACCACTCACATCTATTCCACTTCTTGGAATAGATGATGTGAAGAAATCCCAATGCATTTTTTAAAGCAGGCAAGTGAGGCGTTGAGAGACAACACAGAACCCAGGCGGCTACTTGGAGTTATTGACACTAGAGGGAGTATGTGGACAGAACAGAGGACAATCCTTTGCTCTTAGTTCTGCAACTCCTTTTAGTTTTTGTATAATTCTAGAGTCAGTGGAGCCCATTGTCACAAAAGCTTTGTGTTACTTTATGTTAATATCAAATTTATCACAGTTTGAAAATGATCACTAACCCCTATCCCCCACAAATCTGAGGCAAAAATTTTTTTTCTGAATTGTAGTAGGGGGCCGGCTATTAGAATTAGAGGAAAGAATGATTAAAAGGAAAGGGGGAGGGGCGGGGGAAAGAACTGTTAAAACATTATAACTTTGTAATGTTATATCATATCTGCTAGTATCTCTCATTGGTTATTCATTTATTCTTTTTTCCTAATACTTATTGAACACTATTTATGGTGCCAGTCACCGTGCTAAGCCATGAGGTTACAGACAGAAGACAGAATCCTGCCCTCAGGTTGCTGTCAATCTAGAACTGTAATCAGTACTATAATGAAGGAAATGTATAGGTCTCTGAGGGAATGTCTAAGAGAGGATCATACTACCTAAAGTACGGAGCCCTGGAAAGGCTTTAGTTTGGAAGGATGACTGGAAAAGTAGTTTAGTTAAATGGATTTGGTGGACAGTGGTGTGGGGTATGTCGTGTCCAAAAGGCAACAACTCTTGGAAAAGAAGTAGTGTGAGAGAACTTGGCTCAGCTGAGAACTGAAGGAATGGCTGGAGCAATGGGTTGAGAGTAGAGGGATTCAGATAGTGAGATTGGAAAAGGTGAGGCTGGCTCTCAAGTTCTCTTTGACACCGTCCATGCATAAAGAGGAATCTCCAAAGGGCATTGAGCTGGCAAGTGGCATTGAAAACAAAGGGTCTTTGCTGGCTCTTTGCTCATTCCTTCTGTCTGGACTTTTAGAAGTAAGAGCCAAATATTTCATGTAGGGCCCCTGTCCTGGATACTGAATTGGGAGATTCCC